CACACCGGGCTCAGCCATGGCACAGCTGAAGCCAGCGCCTTGTGCCCCCTCTGTGCCACAGTTTACGCCACCACCACCCCCCCCGAAAATCCATCAGGTTCAACCAAATGTAAGCCAGGTCACTGCCACCTCCTCGTTGCCGCCACCACCTCCTCCCGTGCCTGCCCCTCCGCCGCCCCAGGCACCCCCAAAGCCTGTCATGGCAGCTCTCCCCCCCCAGCCTAGTGGGAAGGCAGCGTCACCAGGGATCACACACGTCACCCCCTCTGTGCCAGCTCCTTTGCCCCTTGCAATAAAGAAACAACCAAGTGTCACCTTGCCCCAGGTGCCTCCACCGCCCCCAGCCCCTCCAGGCCCGACTCCCCCTCCAACATTCCCAAAGCAGCAAAGTTTCTCTGTGAAGCCTCCTCCCTCCCCTCAGTCCCCAGTGCCGTCGTCGGTGGTTAAACAGATAGTTAGCCAGTTCCCACCTCCTCCCACCCCACCTGCCACTGAGCCCCAGCCTCTGAAACCCCTTCCACTGAGCGTGGCTCCACAGTCGCCTCCAGCAGTGAAGGCAAAGCCTAAATGGCAGCCCACTTCTGCTCCCTCACCAGATTTCCCCCCTCCTCCACCAGAGAGCAGCTTAGTGTTTCCTCCTCCACCTCCTTCCCCAGCTTCCTCTGCAGGTTCTCCCCCCCCTGACAAATCAGGGTCTCCAGTCAAAAAGACCAGCAAGACATCAAGCCCTGGAGGGAAGAAACCACCTCCAACGCCTCAGCGAAACTCCAGTATCAAGTCCACCAGCTCCACGGAGTACCATGAGTCCAAGAGACCTTCAGTGGACCGCCTTGTCAGCAAATTTGCACACCCACCAGAGCCGTCAGGGTCTCCTTCTAAGGAGTCATCACCTCCTGCAGCCCCTCCAAAGCCAGGAAAGCTCAACCTTTCTGGGGTGAGCCTGCCCATTGTCCTTCCGCAAGGAGGGATCCCGGCCAAGGCTCCTGCTCCAGGGGTGTCTGGGAAGGAACCTGTGGTTGAATTTCCTTCACCACCATCTGATTCAGACTTTCCACCACCACCACCTGAAATAGATCTTCCTCTCCCACCGGTTGAGATCCCATCCATGTTTTCAGGCAGCACTTCCCCAAAAGTCGCTGTTGTCAATCCCCAGCCTCAGGCGTGGTCAAAACCATCAGTGAAAAAAGCCCCACCACCCACACGTCCCAAGCGGAACGACAGCACTCGACTGACACAGGCAGAGGTCACAGAGCCACCAGGGCCAGCTGGGCCTCAAGTGCCCACTTCACCCAAGTCCAGCCTTAGCGTTCAGCCGGGATTCCTGGCCGACCTCAACCGGACGCTGCAGCGGAAATCCATCACCCGGCATGGCTCCCTCTCCTCTGCACGGATGTCCAGAACAGAGCCCACAGCCACCATGGACGACATGGCCCTGCCTCCGCCTCCGCCCGAGCTGCTGGCTGACCAGCAGAAGACGAGCAGCTTTGGGGGCAGTCATATATCTGGCTATGCAACGTTACGGAGGGGGCCGCCCCCTGCACCTCCCAAAAGGGATCAGAACACCAAGCTGTCACGGGACTGGTAGTCAGTGTCCAGGGGCCGGCGCTCTCCATGACTTGTGGGCCGCTCCATGATCAACCAACCTGCGATCTTGCGCGCTTGGAGAGAACGTGGGGCTGCGGATGATAGCTCCATCAAAAGAGGTGATCTCAAACGGTAGCTAAGGCTAAACGTAAAGACATTCCCCTTTCATGGCTAGGCCAAAAAAACTGGGGGCTTGGGGGTGTTGATGTTTATTGGAAAAGGTGGGTAGAGAGGCATTGACTTGTCCTTTCAATTTCTTTTACCCTTCATATGGATTGGACCAAACCCCCATTTTCTTACTTTTTCTGCATTTAGGGGAGGGGGGGGAGATAATTTTTTGTAGTGTCTGTCCACGTGAGACATGTTTGTGCATGTATTATAAGTGTAGGTATATAATATATTGTGATATATTTCGTCGCAATTATAGAAGATAACCAGAATGTTTTTGTAGAACCGTATTTATTGTTTCAGTCACTATATTATCTGGAATTGGACTCTGTAACTAGTCAACTCTTACCACAATGATGAAGATGTAGGGGGCACTTTAAAGAAAGGAAGGAAAAAAAAAAACAAACACAAACAACAAAACCAACCAACCCACAAACCAACAAAACCCCACACACAAACCTCTTGGCAGTTTGTGGTGGATAAATGGTGCAGAGCTGAGGTGCTCTGCTAGTAACTGTACATTGTCCATTGATTGAAAAGTGCAGATGCAACATACCAAAACATTCTGGTCATAATACTACTGAAAATGAGTATGTTCTGAGGAAGAAAATAGATTTTATATATAGTGGGCTGGAGTGAAATATATTTATACTATAAAGAGCCTCCCCCTCCCTTCCAAACAGTTGAAAAATACACACTGCTACAAATTATTTCAAAGTTATTTGCCCATGTAGTAAGTAGGATAAATACCTATTATTCCAATCCATTATGCATTCTAACTTTATAGTAGTCTCAATCATTTTGTTCCTGTGGCTCAAGATGAATATATTTGTGTTAACCCCTTCTGAAAGCTGCCAGGACTCCTGCAGTCGATGCCGACCCACAAGGCTGACCCACGCCGATACATCACTTGTACGTGTAATTCTTTTCCCTGAATGAACAGGTAGGTTTCTGTAGAGAGTGTTACGGTCTCGCACAAGCATACACAGCGTACAGTCTCACCTTGTCTGTGCCTGAGAAGATGTATTATCTTTACAAAAACAAGCATCTGGAAGCATTCAAATAAAGTATTGTTTGTAATTCATTAGAAACTGTCAGGAAACTTGCCCTTCTAGAAAGAGAGAAGGGAGTGGTAAGTTCAGGCCAAGTGGGAATTCTCTCTTCTTTTCTTCCACCTGCCCTAGACTGCAATCAATGCTAAAACCTGTTAATTACAAAGTTGCACTTCTAGCAGTCAAGGGAGAAGACTAGAAAAAAACCAACCTTGAGAGGCAATAACATTTGCTAATATAAGGGCCCGTATGAGTAGTAAATAGACTTATCGTGTTTGCTTTATGGGTTTTTTTGCTTGCTACCGGCTCACAGTCAATCACCAGATCAAGTACTAGAGCCCTTTTTCTTGTACTTCAGTAGCTTGATTGTACGGTCTTACCCATATCTTGGGACACGGGTAGTGTAGTTAGCATAAGTGGTCTTAGGTATCCTGCACGTTCATTACAGGGTAGTGGTACACAACTTGTGTAAAGTAACTAGAATACTTGGACTGTACCTACCCCATCCTCAGTTGTTACAACTTCCCTCGTCACCACAGGGATACTGTCAAGGCTCAGATGGCAAATTATTTTACTGTTTACCTCTTCTCCAGAAGCAAATTTTAAATGCTTTCCTTCCCCCAAAGAATGAAACAAAGGAAGTAGCTTGACCTGACAGTATCCTCAAGTGTGTAAAAAAAAGATGTAAAACTAATCTCTCAATAGAGTAATTCAGGCTGATGGATTTAAGAAATATTGTGACAGTGTCCCCCATTCCTTTTTTTATAAGATGTTTTTTAAGAAATCCAAATAATAAAATAAATGTCTTTGTGAATAATTTATGAATAGGAAAAAATCTTTGCTAATTAGAGGGGAAAAATGACATCTATATATAGTTTTAAATAAGTGCATCATGAAAAGAGAAAAATTAATGGTGCTGTCTCTGCTGACCTGTTTCATATGATTTTTTAAAAATCTGTTTCAGCACCTCTGGAAATTGTTTTAATATTTCAGACTAGTTTTTTTGAGCAATAAGAGTATATACCATTGTGTGCATTTTTAAAGCACTGCTATGGAAAGGCACTTTTTTGTATCTTTCAAATTGTTCACAAAGTTTTGTTTCTACTATTTTTGTGCTTATAAAGTGTCCTTAAAAGCATTTGCATTGTTGATTTTAAGCTTGCTCAGTGTAGCTGGTGAATAACTTCACAGAGAGGTTGTTAAGCTATACTGCAATTCATGGGTGCTGTGATTTTCAACATTGGTCCTCCTGCTGCTTTGTACTGTACGCAGCTCCTGGGGCTCATACCCACCAGTGGAGCAAAAGGTGTGCAGACACAGTCGTAACTCCCCAGCTGTTACTGATGATCGGTAAGCGCACAGGTTCTCCTGCTACTCCCTGGCAAGATGCAGCTGGGCTGATGCAGTGTGTGCTCCCAGGTAGGAGCAGTCAGGGAATTCTGCTTGCCCCATCTGTTCTTCTTTCCACCCAAGACAGCTCCACTGGTGTGTGTCAGTTCCAGCCCTTTTACTTTTGTTCATTCAGCGCGGGTACCTCTGGGCAGAGCAATCGTTTGAGTGCAGTTTCTTCAGAGGCATTTGAGCTTTGTTCTCATTTTCCTGTGCCCAAGTTCATTTACCCAGTATCTCTCCCTAGACAACTAACCCATGCTTACTACTGCAGGCTGCTACACAGCTTGCTGGGAGATGGGAGTTTTAACTCTTAAGTTTGCAGCAAAAAAGAATGAGCGTCAGCAAAGGTGGCACCCTGTATTCCTTCTTGGTACAGCTTCCTAAGCCAATAGCGATACAGAAATGGAGTGGCTGCAGCTTTCTCTCAGCTAAGCACTGAAATTTGGCTACAGTGTGGTTCAGACAACCTGGTTGCCTTTTCAGCTTATGAGATTCCTCATTGTAACTTGCTTTTCCAGTGTATTTACTGGTTTTGTGACAGTAAATATTTATGCCTTATTTGCAAGTAAGTTATTTTCCCCCATGTGCACTGGTCTCACAATTGCACCATTATATATTTATTTAAATCGGAAAACAAAGGGGCCAGATCTCAGACACACAGCAAGAAGCTTCTCGCTGCAAACACGGGCTGTAATCCTTTTTGGTGGTATTAAATGAGCATGTGAAAGTTGAGCTTCCGTACTCTGGACATAAAGATAGCAGATGCTTTGATCCTAAAACACTAAGAGAGTACAGCTGTAGCAGTGTTACGTGATGGAGCGTTTGGCCTTTGACACTTGTTAAGGTGGGTGTTGGGAAAAGCCCTGCTGCTGCAGGGGCAGCTGAGAGCGAACAGCTGCGTTCGTTAATCTGTTCCAGATTTGGTCTTCATTTCCTCTCTGCCATACAGCAGTAGCATCCCCCTCTGTGAGCTGCAGGGTGTCCCTCCTGTTCAGCCAGGTCCCTCTGTGCCTGCAGCACAGGTGTAGAAAGCAAGGAGCTAGTCTGCTCTGACACTTTCGTTGTAATTCAGGTCTTGGGGAGTTGCTTTGGAAGAGAAAACTAGGCTCTTATATCAGCACTAAGATTAGAGGAGAAATTACTTTAAAAAACAGAACAACCACGGATTCTAAATAAACCATGGGTAACATGTTTGAGGTTGGGGGTTCCGTTTAGTCTTTCAAAATCTGTGGTTGGGGGAGGAGGTTAGGCACAGGTCTCACACTAAAATAATCCTCTTACTTTCTATGGAAGAGGAAAGTTTCTGCTTCACCCCGTGCAGTGGTTTCCTCCTGCGGCAAGCCACCACTGCTTGCTCTGACTTTGGTGCATGACCTCAAAACCAAAGAGCTCCTCTCCTGAACTTTGCGGTTTCCTGCAGGGCAACAGTGACTGACGGACACATCAGGGAAACAAAGTGAAGGTACCTGATCCCTTTGGTTTCAGGCCTGATGGGAGAGAGAGCAGTTTTTTTCAACAAGTGCATTTTAAGAGTGACTGTTCTGGACTTGCACATTTAAAGGTTTTCTAATTTCTGCTTATGTGCCCTTAGGCTAGTTTTCCTCTGAGTTAAAATTATTTTTTTCACAGTTAGTTGGTTCCTTTAAGTGCTGTTTCAACAGCAGAAGGGCAGAAAAATTTTCTGCTTGTTACAGAAAACTGCATAGAACTAAATTGGTTTACTTCAGTTGGTACCATTGCAGGTAAATTTGTTTCCTACTCAAAACAACATTTAAGTGGGTCTTACTATGAGTAAGTACTTTCAAATAGAGTCCCGTTAGAATCAGCTGCACTCCGGGAAAGCAATATAAATCCCTGACAGAAGCTAGTGAGGATGCAGCCAGAACATGTGAGTTTGTTGGGTTTTTTGTGTTTGGTTTCTTTTCACTGCTAAATTTTAGATTGTTCAAACTGCTCCTCACTTGGAGGCGAGGGGAGTCTGTCTTCTTTGTGGGAAGGGATGTTTTCCCAAAGCCCACCTGTGGCTCCTGGTGTTTAGCTTTGCATTCCCTCACACAATCAGGACAGACTCCAAACCATAGAGGATTTAACATTATGGGGGATAGTTTCTCCTAGACATTCTTGTAATGTGCTGGTGGGTTTTAAGCTTTTGTTTTGGAATTATAAAGTTTGCCTAAAGTTGAGTAATGATCCTTTCTGAATTATTTTTCTCCTTCAGTTAAAAAAAATGCTCACGACAACTGACAAAACCAGTGTTACGTTGCAGGGGGTCAGCACTCACCAATACTGTGATCCGATGAGTTACAGCCTCTGTCTAGTTTTGAAAAGTTTAAGACACTAAACTGCAAGTGAGGGGACAACACATACCTCACAATGTAAATTAAAGTAATTGCCACCAACATGGAAAAAAAAGTGATTAGAGTTGATGGCTAGTTGGTGCTCCGAGGCACTCAACAGGGCTAGGACTGGGTGAGCTCTCTGTTCAGCAGGAGTGTGTATCTTTGGGAGTTGAGCTAGAGAAATTGGAACAGGAACTAGTGCTATATGCACAATCCCCCATGGCAGGGATTTAGTGAGGGAAATGTGTGAGAAGGAACTTGAGTAACAGCTTTTGGGACACCCCACACCCACCCCCCTTATTTAAATACTTAAAGACAACTAGTCTTTTAAGAGACTGAGGAAGAGAACCAACTTCCCTACAGTGGAAAATAGTTTCCTCCCACCTTTCCCAAGATGCCAAAGATGCATTCAGAGCTAAATTCCAGGTCCGCATACGTGCTTGCACCAGCCTCACCTGAGGCTAAGGTGCGCAGAGCTGAAGTGCAGTTGGGCTGGAGAACAGGGCTGCTGCTGTTAGATGTTGTGCATCTCTTGCCTCTAACCAAGGCTGGGGCAAAGGACGGTTTAGCAAATGAACCTGTGCCCGAGGCTCCCTGCTGCTGGTTTGGTGCGGCACTATAAAGCTTGTACTTCTAAAAGGAAAACTAAATGCTTTGTCACAAGTTTTAATTGCAAATCTTAGATCTCCTTCTAGTGGACTGCAGTGGACCAGGAATTAACTGCAGTAGCAGTTTGTTTCATGGCTTAGACTAACTATTAGCAGCCACTGGTGATACTCTGTATAATACTGGGGATGCAAATGTAAGAAAAGAAGTGTCATTGCAACGATGATTTGTCTGTGCAGCAAACTTGTGCTGAGTGCTGTAAATACATTCATGTTTACTGCTTTAAAAAGAAAATTGCACATTTTATCTTTTAATGGGATTGCCTCCCCTCTTCTTCCCTTTCCAAAAAGAAAAATCAAAGCTCTTTTAGACTGATAGCTTCAGGTTGGGGGGAGCTTTGCCATATTATAAATATATATAAATATATGTATAAATATACTTTTTTAAGCATGGGAGAGGACAAAAGAAATACTACATTATAGAATACCCAATATAGATCATTATACGATGGAATATGCACAATTCAATAAAGATGTAGTTAAATTTAATAATCTGGTTTTATCCTCTGTCTTGCTATTTTCCTTTTTCATGAGTTCAGAACTCACACTGTGTTCTCAGGGCATCAGTGGTGCCCCTCTGTAGGAATCTGATACCTAATGGCCTACAGGTTACCATTTATATGCTCGCTCTCAATAAAATTGCTTTTTATTGTTCCTTTGCACAGTTCTTTCCAGTGGGTCAGAGCTGGCTGTACCAGTAACACAGTGCACACCAATTACAGGTCTAAAGAGGACCCAGTGTGAAGGCTCACCTTTCCCATCTGCCTCCTCCCGCAGGCGTGCAGAGCCCTGTCCTGCTCTGCTCACGCAGGAACTGCTGATGGCTGGTAAGTGGCGCTGCAGCCCCTCTCTGGGGGCCACTGGAAGGGATTCAGCTCTGTTCCCTTCCTGCATCAGCCACCAGCTTTTACAGCAGAGATTCGAGGTGTTGCATTAGTGGCAAATTCAGGAAATGCCAACGCTGGCACCTTTGCTGCGGGAGGGGCTGTGCTCAGCGCTCCTCTGGGACGGGGCTCCCGCATACAGAAGGGGCCGTCCCTGGCCTCGCGGTGTTGGGAAGGCTGTAGCCAAAGACAAGGAATGTGACGCAGCAGTGGCATGCTCACAGGACACATGGTGTGTGCTTTGTTCTTTTTATTTAGGGCTTGTAACAAGAGGGTTTAGTACACAGCAACAGTTAATTCCAAGTACAATTAAAAAAATTTAAAAATTGGGTTTTGCACTCACTGGAAGGTGGTTCAAATGGCACACACAATAAAACGTTACTGGCGGCGTACAGCTCCCCAGAGTCCTGCGGGCTTGGTCATTTACAGTGGGCTCTGCCCTCATCCACTGCATCAGCAGTGCCAAAAGCAAAAGCACAGGGTGCTTCTCCTGACTGCAAACCAGGGGGTGGGGGGGTATCTGCTTTCAGAAAAAAGTGCATGGACAAAATCCATGTTAGACACTGACATTTCCAGAGAATTCATAGAAACTACTTGTCCATGCAAGTTGCAAAAGACACTTTTTCAAATGTGAAAAGAAGCACTTGTTCTTTACAAAATAATCTCAGACATGTCAGCACTTTACCAAGGCGCTGCAATGGAAATGAATTTGTACACAGCTCTTCCTCATTAGTCAATAGCAGTAGGATTCTTCCGAGGTTTTAAGAGAAACAGGAACAAATGTACTGCACACATTTCAGCAGTGTCGCCATGTCAGTGGTCAGCAGGATGCTGGGTGTAGGCTTACCGCTGGACAGCAGGCTGCTGCTGACTTTACTGGTTTGTATTACGCCTTGTAATAACCAAAGGTGCTAATAAAATTCTCTGTTTAGGGTACCAAAGAAAAAAAACACTTCCTGCAGGGGCAGGAGATTGCACAAAACACAGGTGGGGTTTTCTGAATGAAAGCAGCAGAACACCATGGTCTGTGAATTATTCTTTGTAACAGCAGCTGGCACACCTTGGCCGCATCAAGCTTTCAGCAACTTTCCCATGGGTGTGAGATGGGGTCCCACTATTCTTGCAGTTTCTAGATCAACAGGACTGCTACTACACACTGACTTCAGCTACCAGGGTGAAAAAAAAAAAAACCAAAAACCAAACAACCACAAACTGTTCCCTTCTTGCACTATTCTGACCTCTGTGTAATACCATTTTATCCACAAAATGTGGCAGTACCTAATACTGAAGAGATGCCAGAAGGTGGGGAAGGTGAATATACCGGTAAGCACAGTAAATTCATGAATGTTACCCTGTAAATTAGAGCCCATCGACCTGCTAGTGCTCCATTTACTCCATCTCTAGATTAGGGTTGTAAATACTTGCCTTAGTGAATGCAGCAGTGCTGCACATTTCTCACTGCCACTGTTGTGAACATAGGAACCGAAGTCTCTGCCTGGGGGCTGTAATGGTTCCTGCCCTGCGCCAGCGCTCGATGCTCTCCGTGCCAGTACCGCTCCGGGAGGTGCCCCCGCGCCACGGCCTCTCACAGGGGCCTCTAGCACCCGCCGCCAAGTTGCCCAGCTGAGAATGCAGAGGCCACCTGTTCCACAAGGTGATATCCTGTCCCACCTCTGGGAGGTGAAGCCCTGTAAACACTAACCTGTATAACATCGCATCCGTGGCAGAAAGGAAAATGATTTATGCCTGAAGCCCAGGGATGTAACTGAGAGCTCATTTCCAGGGGAGAGGCACCTCCACGGCAGTTGCTAGGAAGTGGGAGTTGGGAAGAGCACAGCATTAAGTCACCATCAAGCACAGGCAGGAGACACGACAGAAGCACAACAGTTCATCAGTGCACGACTCTCCTCCCCCTCTAGTCTACGACAGGCACATACACAGCGGGCAGGCAGCCACCTCTGCCAGAAAAGGAGCATCAGTCCTGCTGCTGCACTTTCTTTTCATGATCAACTGCAATGCCCTAGGTAAAAGTGCCACTTTCCAGAAGCTGCATCACTGCCACTGTCAACTTTGGCTGTCACTAAAATCCCTCAGCAGAAAAAAAAGAAAATGCCCAGGAGCTGTGAAGAGAGAACCACCTGCTCTAGCGAGAACAAACTGGGTCTAAGCCCTCCCAGCAGGCAGGGGTAAGCCAGGGACTGTGGGGGGCTGCGGTTCAAACCAGCAGCAATCTGCAGCTGCTTTCAGGAACACCCAACTCAACTAACCGCAAGGCCAAGCTGAATGCCAGGAAGGTGGGTCAGCCTCCTGGTAACACCGACCGAGCTCTGCCACCTCCGCCGGGCCGGGCCATACCTCTTGGCCTCAGGGTAGGACGCTGGCTCTTCAGTGCATCCCCGTCTGCCTGTGCCTCAGCAGTCAGGCCAGCAAGTGTTCAGGCACTGCCTCAGCCCCCTGGCGCCTGCTCCAGGCAGTGGGCACGGGCACCCCAGCAGGATGCTCAAGCACAAAACTGGGCTGCTTGCTCCTCCTGCCCCTCTCACCCCTCTGCTGCAACTGCCAGAGAGAGACCCAAAGAACGTGAAGGGGGGTGGGGCGAGATAGATACACGAAACCTCAGCCATCTCTCTTAGGCTGGAAATAAAGCACCAAAATAAGCTGCTTCGGCAGTAGATGGGGACAGAGTCAGTCGGACTTCCTCTTACGCAGGCACATGGCAGAGAGGCTGCTGTAGTTAATAGCCTTGTCCCTGGGGCCAAGAGCAAGGAAATCTCTGATACAGCAAACCAAGGCAAAATACACAGCTAGAGGATGATGACCAATTTCTGTGCACAATGAAAACAGCTGGCTGGGCTAAGGCAGCTCTTACCAAGGAAGAAACATACTCATTTTGGCTGTACAGCAATCTTTGGGCTATTCTGGAGTGTCTCCTTCCCTCACCTCTGTCTCATGCATACACACTGCTGATTCAAGAGCCTGAGATGCAGAACACCTTCAGCTGTGGCAGCAAGACGCACTTGACAATTTTGTGCATGTATTTGAAATACTGAGGTGTTCCACTCCCATTCTCGACCCCCTTTTAAAGTAAACACATAAATTAAAAAGAGGCAGAGGGGAGAAGTTTTTGGAAAAGTACAAGGGACAAAACTGGAAACACAACCCTCACTGACTTCACTAGCATGCAATCTATGTAACATTAACATACAGAGCCTGTTAACCTTGCCCTGGTCTATGACCATAACATCACATCATCCCCAAACAAGCCACAGAATTAAAATCTGTACAAAATAAAAAATATGCATAAAGCTCAACAAATTTCTTTACATTTGAACTGCATAATAAAGCATAAAACCAGCAGGAGGTGACCCAAAGACTCCATTCCCAGCAGCTCTTGCAGGATAAACAATTCCACGTGCTACCAGCAGGGACCAAACTAACCCCTGGCCCATCTGACTGAAGTCTGATGTTCTTTAAGGAGCTTCACATGTTCCACTTTCAAGGTTTTGCAGCCTCATCCTCCATGCTGAGCTCTGGCAAGCATTCAGCACTTCCCGAGTTCACACTGCTCTGCTCTCGCCACACAGAGAACTTGCAAGATGAACAACCAACTGAATGAAAATGAAGGACACCCGATCCCCACCCGTCAGAAGAATTCAAGCACACGCTTTTACACAGACTGTTAAAAGACGTTCCACTAACAACACGTGACCTCCCAGCTGGAGCATGGGTGCACTGGGAGAGAGGTTCAGCTCTCATTTAGTAACTCACTAAGCTGCCATAACTGGATCTATGGGAGCACCATGTGCTCAGTCTTTCCACAAACATACCCAGAGCAAGAGACACCAGGAATGCTCTGATATCCTGGAAAACAGCCACCCTGCGAGCACCAAAGGCTTGTGCAATACTGCTGTTCAATCACCCAGGCTCCAAGCTGGGCTGCAAGCACACCTCCCTGTGTAAAAAGTGTAGCCCTGCCCTGTGACACCAGAACAGTCACTGCAGTGACTGCACAACCAGTGTTCCTAGGCTTGCTCCCAGAGAAACGATGGGCTGATGGAACTGAACGTGGACACTTCTGTTAGTCTTGCTGTGAAACAGAAGTTTTCAGAGAGGCAGGTAGAAGGGTATCTGTCCTGGCTAACATCCCAAACAATAATGCTGTCAGCTTCCAGGCAGAAGACTAGGGTGTCTTGGCTCCACAGCTGTGGATTGAGCAGAGGAGAAAGTAACTTCTACCTTCACTCCAGTTTCTTCAAAGTTGTACCTCCTGTAAGCTTCAACCAAACGAACTCCTTACGCACCATCGCAGGAGTTAACTCACTCTTCTGCAAGCAGGTGATCACATTCACCCATATCCCACAAACACTCACCTGCTTGTTTCCTCCTTCCTCCCCCATAGCAGCTATGGCTCTTCCCTGCCCAGGTTTACACCAGGCCTGCAGCTCCACCCTGACACTGCACTCACCACCAAGCGAGCAGATGGGGTCAGTTACCTGTACCCTTGCCAATACTGTCACAAACACAGCCCTGGCAGCGCTCTCTTGTGTAGGGCTCAGTTTTACACACAGGCCTCAGAAGACAGCTGCAGCACTGTCTCGCCCTGGACAACCAACTGTTGGTACCAGCTGGAACTTGGCCAGGCAACAGTCAAAAGTCATCCAGGAGGATGCCCTGGCCCAGGAGGCTTCATCAGTTCACTCTGTTAATTCATGACATTTACCCAAAGATAACACTCAGTCCTTCATAAGGGCAGACTAGTACTCCCATCACTTTACACTGCTCTGCTAGGCAGAATCACTGAGCAGCAGTTTTAACTGAGACTAGATTAAAAAGCAAACTATCAACACAAGGGGCTACAGAGCCTTCACTTGGTTATTACTCCACCCCAGATCCACCAGTACAGCTCAAAATATCTATTTCTTTATAATGAACAATGGAGAGGGCTGGGTGAAGAGCTAGGACTACTACTAGTTACTGCTTGGATTTCCATGGGAAACCATTACACACAACAGCCCTTTTTACTTCCACTGAAGAGATTTTGGCAACAGACATGAAGACGACAATTGCCGTTTGTCCTGCCTCTGCACAGGGCTCTCACAGTACATATGCAAATCTAGTCGTCAAGTACAAAATAGCCAATTTACAATACCTGATTGGATTTTTAAGATTATATTGTGCATAAGACTAAAGTTGGGGGTAAGTTTCTCTAGTGCAAGCAGGCATGAGTAGATTTGAACCTTAGATCACAGCCCCTAGAGTTTATCCTCAGACCCCAGGAGGACCTGTAAACTTTGTTTCGCCTTCACTGTCAACTGCCTCTGTGAGTTCTGTTTAAACCAGCAGCACCCATGGCGAGTAACTCACTGCGCAGAGGAGCACGTTTACATCGGTGCTGAACACGAAACAAATCTGTGGCATTAAAAAGATGAGGAAATGGGGGTGGGGTCCTCTGGGCTGCAGCCATCTTAAACGTCTAAACTGAAAGGTGAGTGAATGAAAGCCAGCTCTGTGTGCCCCTGTGTCAGCCTACATGTGCAGAGCAGCTGCAGAAGTGTTTACGCTAAAGACGTAGCCAGCTATCTGGAAGTCAGTTACAGGAACGGCTCTGTGTGGAAATCCCAGTGTTTCCTAGCACAAGACTGTTCTTCCAGCTGCACAGGAGTGTAGTGTAGAAACAGGAGGGATGTCCACTGGCCAGTAACCCTTCACCGCAAGCATCCAGGACATCCCAAGCGCCAGGCACTGCTGCCAAGGGTAGTACCATGAGGGCACAAAGGATTCCTGAGACAGATCCCAAAGCCTGTCAGAAGTCATCAGAATTCGAGTGAAGTATCAGCTACTCAACAAGTTTGTTACATCTGAATGGGTCAGCTTAATTCAACATCAGATGGCTCAGGATGGCCTCTGCTGGCAGCTGGAAGAGCCATTTGTTCAAACTCAAATCACTATTGTTTTATAATGAGGGGAGGGAAAAAAACAAACAAACAAACAAAAAAACCCCAAAAGAGTGGTTGTTACAATTATCCTTCATTCAGTTATACTGGATGGGGCCCCACAGGCTGGTGGAGATCTGGGAAGCCCTGACAGCTCCTGCAGCAGGAGATGCAGTGTTCTGTCCTCTAGTCTTCACTCTGAGTAATGCATGATCGACTCCACATAGTTCCCTGGGAAGAGCCCCGTCACTCCATTCATGACTCCCTCATACCAGCCGTCATCATTTTTCTTGATAACATAAATGATGGCACCTTCCTGAAATGAGAGCTCATCTTCTTTGTCCTTCGTGTAGTCATAGATCGCCACCACTAGGAAAGAAGAGAGCATGACTGTTAGGAGAGGTACAGGGAGGAGGATGAAAATCAGCCTACCTCATGCAAAGTTCTCCACATTCAAGGCAATCCCAGAGAACTGCACTGCCGCACCTCTGTGTGTGCAGAATGACCTGCTGAGGGGGGCAGTTTCGTCCAGCCCCTCTTATAAAAGCTCATGCTTTGAAGCACATGAGCCAGGACGACTTTAACTCTTCTATTCCTATTATTTCCATACCCACCAGAGGTAAAGGTTACAAATATGAGTTTCACTGAGGGCAAATGCTGGGGGCTGCCCTTGGGCCACAACAACCCCCAGCAGCGCTACAGGCTTGGGGAGGAGTGGCTGGAGAGCTGCCAGTCAGAGAGGGACCTGGGGGGTGATTGACAGCGGCTGAACAGGAGCCAGCAGTGTGCCCAGGGGGCCAAGAAGGCCAATGGCATCCTGGCTTGTGTCAGCACTAGCGTGGCCAGCAGGGACAGGGAAGGGATCTCACCCCTGTACTTGGCACAGGTGAGGCCGCCCCTCGATTCCTGTGTTCAGTTTTGGGCCCCTCACTACAAAAAGGCCATTGAATGACTCGAGCGTGTCCAGAGAAGGGCAACGGAGCTGGTGCAGGGTCTGGAGCACAGGTCTGCTGGGGAGCGGCTGAGGGAACTGGGGGGGTTTAGTCTGGAGAAGAGGAGGCTGAGGGGAGACCTCATGACCCTCTACATCTACCTGACAGGAGGGTGCAGAGAGCTGGGGATGAGTCTCTTTATCCAAGTAACAAGCGATAGGACAAGAGGGAATGGCCTCAAACTGCACCAGGGAAGGTTTAGACTGGGTATTAGGAAGCATTTCTTTCCAGAAGGGATTGATGGGCGTTGGAATGGGCTGCCCAGGGAGGTGGTGGAGTCCCCATCCCTGGAGGTGTTCAAGAGTCACACTGACAGCACTGAGGGATCTGCTGTAGTTGGGTTAGTGTAGTCAGTTTTAGGTTAACAGTTGGACTAGATGATCTTCAAGGTCCTTTCCAACCTAGCTGATTTTGTGAAATATACAATAAAACTTTTAGTTTGGAATGATAAAAGGAGGTGGATCTAACTCCCCATAGCTATGACCACTCAGACCTACTCCAAGATTCATGTATTAAATACGTGTGCTAAACCAGATCTCTGCACAACCAACAGTCAGCTGGAAAACATGGAAGAGGATAGGAATAAGAGCTCTCTTCAGATCACAGTATGCCCACAGTAATATCCCAGACTTCCTCCACATTTAAATCTGTAAAATGTGTATGTGGAGTCCCAGGAGCTAGAAGTCACTCCAGGGTATACAGTGCCAAGGTGGGTGAATCCCAGTTAGGAGCTAGGAAGAAGTAAGGTAGTTCTCTTGAAACAAAATGTAGGCCTACTGTATCAGGACATTTTTTTTTACAGCTGCAGAATATTTTACTGAAGGCACAAGAACTGTTAGGAAAGTCAAAGAAATTGGACAAAGCACTGACAAATATTAAAGAGAGCATTGTCCTGAAATAGCAGAAAATAGACATCAACTTGGTATGTTTTTCCATTCACAGTCCTATCATTATGTGTTCCATACAGAAAATTAGCTATGCCAGACTCTGAATACTTTAATAAATAGCATCAGTCACTGCTTTGAGCACTTGGCAATGAAACATGCAGTGCTGCCATTGAAATAAAATGGATGTTGGACAGGGATCCTAAAATCCTGTACTGGGGATAGAAGGAAACACAGTCTAAACCAAAGCAAGGAGAAAAAAAAGTTAACAGCATGTGTTCATGAGCCCAGTGTCCAAAAGTCCTACTAAATTCATCATTCTTTTCAAAAGAAAGTAAGTCATTCCCTTTTGAGGGAGCAAAGGAATCAATACAAATATTTACTAGGGAAACCTGGATCCTGAAGAGATTATAAAGTAAAATATACAAATCAATCCCAGTGGAGAATCAGCTTATGTGTAGAGATTTTTTTTAAAATAAATAAATCTCCCAAACAGAAGATTCATATCATTTGACTAGAGCATATTTAAAAAACACATGTTGCTGGCTCTATGCTTATGCCAGGAGAGTTGTTAAGTAACTCATTCCAACAAGTTTTAGATATATCATTCTATGGAAACAAAACACAAATAGAGAAACGAGTAAATTTTTAGCTTGAAAAACAGAAGTCATTATATGAACACAATACATTCAATTAAAGCCCTTCAAAATTCCTTTTCAACTGCCTTCTATACCTGGTTCATTTTAAAACATTTCTTCCTAGAGTCAACTGTGCTGTTTTTCTTCACTCTCTTGTTAATAACAATCCAAGGATCGCAATAACTTCCAATTCCTTTCTCATTTCTGAGTTTATTCTAGTCCCTTGTGACATGGAATGGATTCATTATTTCACAATCACAAGCAGGAAACTCTTCCCTAAATTTGTGATGAAAATTCGCTTCTTGTTAAGCCTCTTATAAAATTACCTGAAACCTGGGTTTTTTGATACGTCACCATTGCTTCCTCCCGCATGTTACTTTTGTTTCTCTCTCTTTAAAAGTCTTGTTTAATCCTTCTGTCTGTAGTTCCACTGGTTCAAGCTGTGAGCTTGTCACATACCACGAGTTACCAGGAACCCAGGCCAGTATTGCAAAGAAAAGGCTCCAGATGAGACAGGAAGCAGCAATAGTGACTCAGGAGGTGGCATCCTTCCCTGCGAGAGTGAGCCAGGACCTCTTTTAGTTTCTATCCGAACACGTTTCAATGTAGATATGAAAAACAGAATTACTCATTTAGCTTGATATTCTTCCAGTCAGTGATCCTTGGTTCTTCAACAATTACACAGAGTTTGGCTGAACTCTGTTACCTCAAACCGACCACAAATGTAGCCAGACTGATTATCCAACTGAAATCTGATAGCTGTGACCACACACTTTCTCTGTGTGGTATAAGGGCAGTTTGTCCTTCTGGATACCCATTTCTGTTCATCTGATTTGCAAAGTTGGACCATTTTCTTACCTCTTCATACTATGCACCCAGACAATATAGCCCAGTGGAAAACTGCAGCGTGCTTCCTTGGACATCGCAGGTTGGCTGTTGTTATTACAGCCACATGGTAGCATCCTCAAGTTCAACATCCCCAGTAAGTGTATCCCACCTAAGAGTTTCTCCATCTGTTCAGAACGGATCTGTTATTCACTTCCTTCCTCCACTCTAAGTTAGAGCATGACAATGTTATACATACCTCCCACACTGCACAACTGCTTTATGGACCAGGATCATACTGAATCCCACCTCAATATATAGCAACCCTCTGTATTTGACACCTCCCTGGTGTCCCAACTTCTACATTCTCACTTTTGCAAAGGTTATCTACACTAATCCTACTAGAAATGCTTTCATATGAACTTAAACAAGGGAACAGTCACACCAGGAGGACATGCACAAATCCTAGGAATTGCTACTTTACTTACTGGGGAAAACAGTGTTTGAACAGCCATTTCCTTCCATCAGTTTTGTCTGCTTTGAATCATGTGGCACAGAATACTACTTATTGGAACTTAGGGAGTTGCCATAGGGATAATTATTTTGCAGAAGATAAAGCATTATTAGTTCACAGCAGGGTAAGCATACACATTATTTGAGTATGAAAGTCTTCTTTTAGCATAGGGCTTCTCATCAACTTTAAAGTTTGTTTGCTACAATAAAATCACAGCCAAGCACTTCTCTCCCAACTCCAGCAAAGCAGTCAAATCTCAAGACGTGGGCTGAATACAAGTAGAACTGTTCATGTAACTACAACAGAATCCACACCTATATCAGTATCTGGTATCTTAAAACTACTATTTAACAGTTCTTCATACATTGCAAGCACTTTAATTTTTTATTACTTTTATGATTGTTTCTAAGAACAGACCAACCTTTTAGATGTTTTAGTCATCTAGTTACCAAAACACAGATCAAAATTATGTTTTTGCATTGGATTCTATATCAGTGTGAGAGAATGTTTGGTTTCCTATACTTTTGTTTTTCTGCAGGAAAAACGTTCTGACTAAAAGCCTGACTATCTCCAGTTTTATCTTTGAAGACTCCCATTACAGTTTTGCTATCCCATGTGATTTTCCTTGCAAATATCAAACTACAAGTGCCTGGACTGCCTGCTGAGATTAATAGATCTGTGCATATATGCACCTATATAAATTATTTTAGTTCACAAGCTCATAGAAGTCACACAGAAAAGCAGATCAGAACAGTATGCTATATATAGTCCAAATGTCATTATTTCTTCAAATAAAAAGTTGTTTCCCCAGGCCATGTGCCACATGATTTTGTGGCTTCTCTCCCCCTTCCACCTTCCTCTTGGCATTAGTATGAGATACTATAAACAGGCAATGCACATCAGGGTCCTCTTTTTCCTCTTTTGCTCCCAGCTGAAATGCCACTGAGGATTTGCTGAGGGCCAGGTGGCAGAGGTAACAGAAACATAACATAGATAATGATATGAATGTAGAATTAGGCTAAGGAGTGTCTTATGCCTGGAAAAATCTTGAGACTCACTCTCCTATCAAAAAGTAACATATATGCAATCTTCATCCAGCACAACATACATCAGCCATAATGAAACTGAGCAGATACTGTGCACTCTCACAACTACCTGATAAAGAGGAGTTCATTAAGTAATGTAGCACATCCAGTATTTACTGAAATTACCTGTACTGGTCCCAAGTTGAAGAAATTTGCCATCCTCCCCCAAAGAAAGAAATGTAAGACCAGGAACCCCACCCTACTCTAAAAACCTGATTTTGTGAAGCCAGGTGACTAATACCAATAATCAGGAATACCCTCCAAACTGCACAGCAAGAGGAGTACTTTGTATAGAAGATCCCTTTTTTCTATATCCTCCCTCAAGGAAATAAGCTTCCCTGACAAGAAGCTGAAGCAACTTTTAATCAAAGAAAGAGCTGGTGTGCATCAACAGAATAATAGTGACACTTGCTGTCAATCAGGGTGTCGAGAGGTCAGTAGATAAAGCAAGTCATGTAGACACCATGCAAGTCAGCCACTTTGTCTGGCAAATGGTCTCAGCTTGTCAGCACACCCTGGGTACTCCTTGCACTAAACACACCAGCTAGACAGAGGGCAGAGGAATAACCAAAAACTTCCCACATATTCCACCATCTCTCTCAAGAATATTAGTATTTTCTTTGGGCTGGAGTTGGTAGAAAGTGCCTCTTCCATCTTCTTTGGTTTTTTTTCCTCCCCTCAAGTCCTGCACTGGGTTTATCTTTGTGGCATTCTTGAATTTTTTTCCTCAAGGAAGACTGAATGTGTCTGTCACTCAGCTGAGATGCCTGGTTGCTTTGCAACATTAGGTTTTATAACACCCTTTACTGAGAGGTACATGATCCTGTTTCACAGTACAACATCAGGCAGTAGATTTCTTCATATTCAAGTGCCCCTAAGCCATTTATCTACTCAGGCTATTTTATCTTAGTTTTACTCCAACATGTTTCCACACATCTGAAGACATCTGGATGCAGCCACACAGCAATGCCTTGGTCGGTCCTACGCAGATCCAGCGCTTTTCACCTCAGCACAGAGCCCCAGACACACACTGCAGCATTTCTCCAGATGCACCCACACATTCGAAGTTCAGGTGAAATTGCAGCACCGATTCATTCATTTTTTATCTCACAGGAGTTTGATTATTAGGATTAAGGAGACTACTGAAAAGTGAGTCTTAAGTAAGTAAATTACAGAGATTTAAAAAATATGCAATTAGCCAGCTAATCATTACCTTCTCTTTGTGGAGAAAGGGGTAAAAGAGTCAGACTCAGAAGAGTAGCTTAACTTCAGTTCTTTAAATTTTCATTTGGAGGAGCACCTCTACCACAATACCAAATAATAGCTACGAGTCTAGGCACACTCCAGGTCCAAAGTGGGATGGCAGGAGCTTATATAAAATGTTACAAACACAACCCTACACCATCTCTACTAGCTCTAAACCTACCCTTTTCTAAGTAGGTCCTTGGTGCCCAAGGAGGGTCTTCCTCAGCATATGGATCACTGTACTCCACCACAGCTGCTTCCTCCTCCTCATAATCCTCTGGAGGTGGGGGCGGAGGTGGAGATTCATCAAACACTGGCTCATCCACAGGCGGTGGTGGGGGAGGAGTATCCGAAACTGAAATTAAGCAATAGTATAACCATGAAAAATGTCTCTAGAACCACGGTAGCAGGTTGAAGTATCCCTGTCTCAATTAGTTGCACTGGGACCAACAGTTAGAACTTGTGGAAATACACTAGAATCAATAAAATTCAGAGAAGGAAGGATCAGGTTCCTCCAGTAAAATTATTTCCTTTTCCCTCCCTCCACAATTTCAGACAAACTTGCAGTCAGTAGAGAAGGCAGAATTCTGGCTATATACAGACAGATCTTTCATCCACTCAAAACAAAAGCCACATCCAGTGATAAATCATAGCACAAGGAAGCAGCAAACTTACTGTTTTCTTGAACTCTGGCCACAAATCCCATTAGCGGTAACTGTGGAGTTACCTGTAGGATGGAGGGGGGAGGAGGAGCAAGGGAAGCTGCCACAGAAATTAAAAAGAGAGGCATTCAGTTAGAAACACAACAAAGCAGCAAACAGGAAAGAAGACATCATCGCTACTCAGACAGCGTAGGCCTGCCAAAAAGCAGGGATAAGAGGCTGACATTCAGAGAAAAATGTCTCAGATTGTTTAAGCATATTCCTAATCCTTACTTCAAGGCAATATCTCTATTTTTAAATTATCCAGTTTAGCTCTTTTTCATAAGATTAGAATCCATCCTGAAGTATTTTTCTGATCCAACTATGAGATTTCCTTAAGCTGAAGTTTATTACTACAGCAATACAGCATTTTATGAACAGATCTAACTAACAAATATATCAAGAGGATTCTCTTCCTAATAATCCTCCACTTTCAGATCACATTGGGATTTATAGATGTGACTTGCTTAGTAATAAAAATGAATATAACTAGTTTTCTCCATAACAAAGGCCAAAAAAAAAAAATTCAAATGAGGCACTTATTTTAGGATAAACAGAAAAAGACACCTTTGAGAACTGAGCATACTTCAAAGACACAGGACTCCTGACCTTACAGGTAGAAGAAAGCACACTGTGCTGCTGCCAAACAGGGCCTATTCCAGATGTGCTGCCTTGTTTCCTTCCCACTGATTCGCAGACCACTGCACTGAACTCTGAACAGCCCTTTCACTGGTGCCAGAAGAGCTGTCTTTATACAATCCATGTGAATTCACATTTAGAAAGACATTCTCAGCCAATAGCAAATGTTATAAGACTGAATGGTGGTTTAAGGCAGGTACAAAAGTTTGAATTATCTAGTTAAGTTAAAAAAATAGTTAACCAGATTTATCTAGTTTTACTATCACTTTGCAAGGGTAATGCAGTAATAGTCTCTAAGCAAATTACAAGATTATTTTTCAGAAAGCACACCTCAGGAAAAGCACAACTAAGTAATTCTCTTGTTAGTAGTGGCATACAAAACCATCTAGTCATATCCAAAAGAATGAGGGAAAAAGGTCTAAACTTCATACATCAGGACATTTATTTAGCTTGCAGAACAGTATAAATTTCAGACTAATTTCAGAGCCAGTAAGAAAACTGCCAGGTATGATGTAGCATTTTTCAGAATTAATTCACATCATCATAGTAAATGAAAAGAAAGAACACCAGGGCATTTAAAATTCATGTATCAAAATTTTTTCTGTTTATTTCAGTCACCATTATCTGACATGCTTTGAATTTCTTCTGTCACTCACATTCCTTTCACAGTCACACACCCCAAACAAAACAAACAACAGAGCAACCATCCTTTTTGTTGAAAAAATATCCTTGTACCTCCCTATAAAGCAAGCTCCATTATCTTGCCATTTAATTGGTATTTTTTGAGAAAAACTGAAATACATATCTAATTACAGCTTCTTTGACTTGAATGATGTGACCTCCGAGAATATTTGTTCCTTAAAGTGTAACCACAGTAGCTGGAAAATTAGTTTTTCAAAACAAGAAAAAGGAACTTGAAGTCCTACTGAAATGCAGTGATATTCATTAATTCAGCATTCTTGTGCAAATATTCAGCCCCTGCCTTTTTAATTACATATGCTATAAAAATGTTCAGTTTCAGAATGTTTCCCCTATTTAATCTCACATGGATTTATATCTATCATAGGAGACTAGCTTCAGTTTCCTAGGTCCCTTCAGTGTACTTTGTGTGCTATATATATTTCTTTGAAATACATAATGAGGCTTTCCATGCAGAAAAATAAATCACTCTTGACAAGCACTCCAAGCAAACACAAAAAAAATCCCTTAGTTTTGTTTGGGTTGTGTAGTTTAATCAAGATAGTGATACTAACACTAGCTGACATAATCAGTTGTAAATCTTAACTATTTGGTTTGTGCTTCAGTTTATGCACAGTGCAGGGACTATCATATTATACTGTCTCTACGTGATATATAATGAAACTAAGCCAGTTTTGACCTTTAGGTGCCAATACAATAGATATTAATAATGACTTTGTTTATGAAGTGCATCAGAAGAATGTTACTATACCTCAGCCATCTCAAAAGAGAAGATGAACACCAGTTTAAACATTCCCATCCAGCTTCCTTCCATATAGACCATTGGTAGATTAAGAGTTCATCTACACAATGGCTGTAAATTAATTCAGAAATGCTCAAGAGCACCTTCCACTAGATTGTTTCAGCCTGGTAAGAATTCAGCCATACAAACAGTGTGTCGCACAGACCACCGTCTCAATACTTGCCCAGTTTGTCCCATAGGGTTTTTAGCCTGTGCTGAGCTCTATACCGGCTTAGATTCTGGTACCTAAGGCTGCAAAATTAAAACACCTGTTAGTTGGCATGGCTGGCAAAAGTAGCTTTGGGACAGACATATGCTGAGATTATTTAGGGTCTGCCTTTCTTAATATTTTCTTTTCAGTTGTTTAAAAGGTGTCACCATGAAGTAGAAGAATTACATTAGAAGCAGCATTCAAAAGCACAGGGCAAGGCAAGTATCTTTCACCGTCCTGTGCAATGAACAAAAATGACTATGCCAACATAATAAAAAAGGAAGTGGAAAAACCCCTACTGCTTTATTGCCAAACAGCCTGCAAAGAACAAGAAGCCATAGCTGGCACACTCCTCTGCCTGTTGTAAAGTCTCTATTTGACCTCTTAAGTTTGCATTTTCTCCCTCTCTTCAGGAATGCAGAGAAGCGGTTGTGGCCCTGTCCTGTCTCTACTAACCCTGCTCCTTACAGACACAACAGTCCCTCTCTTCTTAGGGTCTTCATCAACTATGCATGCTTGAGCATCCTCTCCTTTCAAGGTACAGGCCAAGAAAGCTTGGGTTAGTATAACTGCAAAGCCAAAAATTCTGTATTCTGCTAGGTATATATAAAAAAAGTCTCTTATTACCACTGCTTATTCATGTTTTATCAAGTATGCCAGCATAACTGAAGTATTTTGTTGTGATTTACCGCTCAAGTGACTAATCACCATAATCATTATTTTCTTTCTGGGTACACAGACCGAATTGGGGTTATGTAACTTGAAGTCTATTTGGCAGATTCTTTGATTACCTATTAATGGTGCAATGGTAGCTTGCACAGAATGATCCCTTTGCCAAAGCAGAAAGGCACAGCAGTTATCAGAAACTCCTGGATATACTGAAAATCCTCTTTACTGAAAAGGTAATCCTGAACAGTTTCTTTTATTGCCATTATCATTTCCTTCTTGCCTATTCCCCTTCAGCATGCACATAATGTGCTTAACAAATACCACATATTTCAGGCAACTGGGCTACAACTTAGTGATATAACCTCCTCGACCCTCCTGTCCTCAGCAGGACCATAATTTCCTTCTCAAGCACACACTTCTCTTTGCAGAGTAGCTCACAAGCAATATTTGAACCTGATCAAATCCCTTAAATGCAGATTGCAGCATCTGACCTAATTCCAAATTCAGTGATTTAAAAAAACAAACAAACAAACAAAACCGACCCCAAAACAACACAAAACACACCAAAACCTACCACCACCACAACCATAAAACACAAATGCACTGTATTACTTGCGTCAACATTCAATCTTTCTGGTAATAGGACATTTCCTCACAAGGAACCTTCAGTATGTCCCCTGCATCTTTCTGTAGCTTTGTCAAAAAAAAAAAAAAAAAAGTCTCCCCTTTTGCTATCTAAGCCTTCATGTTGCATCAGAAGCACCAGGAAAAGGACTCCCTAGATAAAAAGCCTGACACACAGAACACACCATTCGTTAATATCTCATCCTGCTTTTTAAGACACGTCATCCATTAAAATAACACCAACTATGGACTTAGCAGTTGACACAGCTCCCTTGCATCCCATACCAAACACCACCGATGTCTCTAAGGTGTCACAATGCTGACCCTTGTATAACAAGTGCAATTTCCTGAACTGTCCATTAACCAGAAAGAAAAAGCATACAAGATAAAGACTGATTTATGAAAAATCAATGTTCTGGTGCAAAATCAAATACCCATCTCACACCAGAGCAGATACATGACACATGGTGTAGTAAACGACTAAAATTTGTCTAACAGTGACTGTAAGATCAAAAGTAATTTATTTGGCAACAAAGCCAGTATCATTTTAAGCTGCTTGCAATAATGGAAACTGAACACTCCGTACTTGGACTGCAGCTTTGGCATTGGCTATCAACAGCATACTGGAAGTTACCTGAGACTAACTGCAAGATCTTCAGAGGAGACAGAACGTAAGATTTCAGAGATCTGAAGGCCACTCCATTCACCACTCTGTTGAATTCAACAGAGCAGAAAAACTTTCCTACCTGGGTTCTGGTTGTAGAACGGTCCTCCATTCATCTGGTTCTGAAGGCTCGTCTGCGATGTGATTGAAGGAGGACGCCGATATGGCAAAGATCCCCCTATTGTTGGGGGGGTGTGTCGAGATGCAGGTCTGTTCATGCTGTAGAACTGAACTGGGTGACCTAGGTTAGAAAGAGAAATACATTAGCAAAGAGAAGAATAATGCTTGCCTTATTTATATCTGCATTGAAGTTCCAAAGGCTTGAAAAGGTTTTTGTTTTTAAGGTTTTTGGGTTTTTTACAACAGTCTGCATCTTAGGAGCAGTCAGCCAGTTCAGCTGCCAGACTGGCAGGACATTAGATGCCTAAATAGCAACAGAAAAAACAACTCTCCCAACTGCCTGTACTCAACGCTGCTCACAAAAGCCGGTATGAAAATACAAAGGTGTCTAAGCTACAGAGCTTCAAAACGAAAGAAAATAATTCCTAGTTATCCATTTTATGTAATGTATTATAATAACTTCTTGCAAATATAGTTATTTATAAGCCTGCAAAAAAATAACACTTCACAGCCCAGCAATTAAGCAACATACAGATACAAACTATCTGTATGCTACTTCAAAGGCTCAAAGCTGTTACTTGCTACAGCTGAAAAATAAAACACTATTTTAGTGCTGTTCAGGAAATAGACAGAGACTCATCTGGGGAGAAGAGCATGTCAGAAACTGTTTGAAGGATGGAATAAATAAAGTCATACTCAAAGACCTGTCAATTGATACAACTCCTTAAAAACTTGCTCTCCATTTTAATCACTTCCTGTATCAAAGTAACTGATCCTGAAACTAAGCAAGCAATAAATGAATCTAGACCATTAAGCTATCTTCTGTGCTCACATAAAGTTCTCTGGCTTATACACTGTATATAACAGTAAACTGGATTTATTATACCCATATGGGTTATTACCCTCTCTAACTATTCTGCCTCCACCATTTGTGCTCAAGGTAAATTTCAGAGTTTGAAAGAAAACAAAGGAAGAAGGGACAGTCACTCTGGTTGGAGACATGCATGCAGAGGAGTAAATAGTGAAACAGAACAAATGAATGTGCAATTTTTTAATAAACTGCATTGTGCCCTACTATGTTTTGATTGCTTTGCAAAACTTCACACTAGGTCAGTAAATACAATGCAAGTTACTTGCTCTGTTATTTGTTTCGAAGAGCAAATGCATGAACTAAAAATTCACATTCCTCCCACTTTGTACATCTCAAAAAATAAACTTTTTACAGATGAGGAAGAAAAACAGTTAAGAAGCAATCCACCTAGTATATAGGCTTTTTCATTTTTTTTCCAATGCATCTTTTCAACCTGTCTCCCTGTTACTTAGTGCACTGGTAGCAATTGGTGGTGAATGGAGAGAAGGGAGGGGGGAAGAAACAGGGATAAGAGATCCTTAAGGACCAAAAACTACAACCTCATATATGGTAAACTATCAAGTCTCTTTAAATACTTTACTTCAGAGAACGCATGCACGTAACCTCACTAACAGCACAGGGAAACAAAAGATCTTAAAAATAGTAATCTATCTGAAATTTCTCTTATGGAATTGTGAATGTGAATTATAGCCATTAAAAATTAATCTTTGCTTGATTTTGACATATCAAAAATACAGAAGCAATATGGCTTCAGAACTGGGATACTAACAGTACATCAAAACTGGAAAACTGATCGAGGCCCCATTGGGCCCCACTGCCCATGTTCTAAACATGAAAGTAGTTCAGACATCAGGATCACCACATCACAGTTTGGCAGCTTCTAGTCATAGTCACAGATTCTAGTGTAAGTATTTTCTAATTTACATGAACCACAGCACCTTAAATTAAATATGATCAAGAATGGTTCTGGTACTTGGTGAAATTCTTATTAAGAGATACCAACACTACTAAACACACAAGCCAATTCATACCATTGTGATCAGCCTCCACTATAATGAAAAATAACAAAACATGCAGGTAGCTATATATGAATTTGGCTGCCTGAAGATCTTTACAATGCAGGTGTAACTGCCCATCAAAAGCTGACACAGAACAGTGTTATGGTTATAGGTAGCAAGCACTATATGCTGCAACTTCAGCATATGAGAAAATGAAAAATGTAAGGTGATTTCATAAGCATTAAAAAAAATGAAGTGCCAATATATACCATAAGTAGCACCGATTAAAACAAAATGCTTTAGTACTATTCTGCATAATAAAAACTTCTGTTTTCCCTGGCAGTGAACATCAAAACAATCGCCCTTTTTAATCATTTTATTGAAAGGAGACGTCATTTGAAAGCACTAAAGAGACAAGTCATATAAATTACATTTTGCTTGATGCACTTTTTTTAATGCCATTACCAAAAGAGAATAATCAGACACAGAACTATCAGTTCTGGTAGCCCCAAACAAAATTATTCTTTGAGTTGCTTAGTATCCAAACCACACTGAAATGATAGTGTAATAATTAACTATATAAATGCAAAAATAATAAAATTGTAAAATTAAATTATTGCTGTTTATAAAACTAGCACACCTTTAATTATTTACTATAACCATTATCTTACAGATGGGTACTAGCAGATACTTCCTAGTTACATTTAAAACAAAACAAAACAAATCACTGCTTCTGAAGTAACTTTGAAAAGCCTGGGCTGGTGGTCACACCTGGGTTCATCTGCCCACCCACTGGAGCAGACACTCACCTGCAGAGGGTGTGGAAGAAACAGCAGGGGGAGTTGGAGAGGTGAAGCCATCAGCAAGGGGCTGAGCTCCTGCAGCAGCAGCAGCAGCGTCTGGGGCAGCGGAGGAAGGGGCAGGAGCAGGAGGAGTGGGGGCAGGAGCAGAGGTAGCAGGAAGGGGAGAGGTGCCAGCCGAGCCAGCAGGGGCTAAGTAAGAGAGGAGGAAGAGGTGGAGTTAATCAGGAGATGTTAGCAAGGGTTAGAGAAAGCCTTTGACTATTCAGTGTTAACTATTTATTAGATGTACAGTATTTTAGAATGCACGAGGAGATGAGAGAAAAATGGAGCTGTTAAAAGAAAGGCTCATTCCTATGTAGACAGGAAATGAGGGTCAAGCAAATCCACTACTTCTTTCCAGGTCTCGAGGGAACAACCCAGAACTCTTCACTGAAAGCCATTACTTTTGAAAGATGTCTTTACACCTTGTTGCTATGCTTTGATCTGTAGCATGGCTGCCTTTAGCTTTTGTACAAATCAGAAAACATAGAAGAGGAAAGCCAAAAATTTCCAGTTCTTTGGTTCAGAAGCATTGTGTATTTCAGATCACACTGCAAGCCAGCTATACACTCTTCTTCACCGAAAGGGCTGAGCCAAGGAAAAAGGAGTACTAATATATCACTTCCTATTTCTGGAAAGACTGGGGCGATTACATTGAACAAGTGCCTTTTTATGACAACACTGTTAGGCTTGCATTAACATACTAAACATTTACTATGTGCCTGCCTCTCATTTAATCTAATTTTCTAAAAACATGCCTCTATGTATCTGCATGAATAGTCAACAAAAAAATAATTATTTTCTCAGAAGGACAAGGGAGGTATTTCCCCCAGCCTACTGAAAAAGGTGTTGTGTCCTACATAGTCATATGCAGGCAGCCAGGCAAAAAATTCTAGTAAACAAATTAGTATATAAAAGAGCACATCAGACACTCCAGAAAAGATTCAAACTCACACTATCAATAGCAAGCGTTTTTCAAGGGCTGCAAGTTTCTGGATAACGAACTTTGAGACTTCTCTTGGGGTTTAGGACACTCGCAAACGTTAAAGGTTAATGCTGAGTCAGAAAAGAACAGCAAGTTTCCATTCACCTGGATAGACACTGGGAGGAGATGGTGTGGGAACAGCAATAGGAACACCCACACTTCCACTTCCACTGTTCTCTCGACTGCTGCTCCGACTACTTGGGTGGCTTCCTCCACTACTCCCACTGCTGCTGTAAGAAACGATAATAACCCAGGGTATAAATTATGCTGCTGTGCATGCTGAAACAGGTTAACACCCTACCAATTCAGAGAAGTAACAGGGAATAAGAGAAAAGAAACAAGGATGATATAAACTTATATAAAAAGCTTAGATTTCCTAAAACTCTTCACTTTGACTACAACACAAGAGGTTTTTCAGTTAGTCCTAGCAAACTTGGCCAAAAATGAAACACTTCCAGAATCTTGTTCCAAAGCACCTCAGTCCAATATTGTTAAACCTCTACTGAGCAAATACAGACCTTTTTCCTATAACTTAGAAAGCACAAAGACTGTTTAGACTCTTGATTTATAGGCTTTCATATGAGACTACTGAAACCTGGAAATTGTAAGATAGTACAGTAGAAGTCAGATTTTCTTATATTTTAAAGTTCACCTGTTTAGCCATCCTCAGGTACTTACAATGTTTAAAAAGTGAAGATTTCAAGGGAAGCATTTAGACCTGTCACATCATGGAACTCTTACTATCCAGAGAAAAAGGCTAACATTCTGCAGAACCTTTTGTAATACAGTTCAGGTTTATTCTGTGTTTAAAGTTATCAGTATTCTCAAAATATAATGCTCTTTTTCAGCTTCTCAATACATAAATATCAAAGACTGTTCAAACAAAAATGTGAACTATAATCATACTATGCAGTCCTTCAACATGTAGAAGTCAAGCTGTATACAAAGTCATTCTCCAGTTTTGTAAGCATTTCATAAAATCACTAATTACCTAATTGAAAGACTTCACATTTTTAGTAATTAATTAAATACTGTAACTAAGTGATTAGCAGTAAAATTAAGGTGACTAAGGGATTAAGTGAGCAATCTTAACATGATTCACCATTCTGGTTTTATTAAAGTACATTCTTGTCATGCCAAATTTTGTTCCCAGTCCGTATCATGAATTAGCAAGCTTCACTGTAGAGGTGCAGGTGGATCTGGATATGTTTCATAGCATTTTTTGTCCATATGCTTATACAGTACTAACCACACTTTGTACAGGACTACACTGAATACCTGTATGTGCGATTCCTCTGATTCACAGAAGCTGTTCTAACAGGGCTCTGCTGTGAGGGAGCCATATTGCGTGTTGGGCTAGGCACGTAGTCATTTGGTACCACCGGAGGACGTACTGGCTCCAATGTACGATAGGGAGAGTGACGCCTACACAAGGACAAGCAAATTTCAGAAGCAAATAAAGATAATACAGACAAAACCAAAGACTTTTTGTTCTTTAAAAGATAGCTACGTACTAATCTGTAATGGGAGCTAAAACCCCATGTTTTTCTATGTTTGCAGTATCTACTTTGTAGGATGAGAAAAAACAATTAAAGATGTTCTTCATGTTCTTCAATCTTCCTATTGAAAACCTCGTGTCACACATCCCACTCGTTTTAAAAGTAATCCATATCTTGTTTTAAAATAAAGCACCATGGTCTGTATGTATATACATAATCACATACCAACAAACAGCATTCATGCCAGTTATAACACATTACCCTAAAATCAAAGTCAAGTTCATAGACATAAGAGGAAAGTACTTTTATCACACCCAGCACAAATAATTAATGAACAGTGCCACATACTAATCTTCCAGTTGTTCAGCACCATCTGTCAAAGCCACACAGTTAATGACTTTTTACTCTAAAGCATGAAGTTATAATACACGATAAAAGTCTTCTGCAATGATAAAAAGCTTCCTGTTGGGAAAGGCTGATGAGGCCCACTGTCTCCTGGCAGAAATGTGCTAACTGATATATAAGACGTGATCAGTACAAGAGGATGCAGATATAACTCCTCTTAACCTTTGTGAATGGTTAGAACAAAAACAAACAAAAAAAACCACAAAAAACACCCAGCCACACTATAAAAAAAACTAAGAATCTTCCCTTTTTTCCCCTTCTGTTCACCACAGATGTTTTACACATTTGGTAACTGCACTTACCCAATAGTTCCTTTTCCCGACATTGGTGGACTTGGTGGTTTCTGGGTGGGTGGTGTTGTACGAGGCAGCCCACCCATCTTCATATTCTGTGTGCTGACCTGCATGAAAGAATGGGGAGAAAAACAGCCTTCACTAAGCTCAGCTTCTAGGGGGAGAGACACCAAGATGCCTTTAGCAATTAACTCTAAGTAGGGGAAGGTTTAAACAAACAAAAAAACTGAGAGGCCATGCATTCTATATGCAATTTCCACTCTGCTAGAAGTCAAGAGTTGCGCTCAAAGGACTCTATTTTTACATAGGGTTTTTAAAAATTGTATATACAAAAAGTGAATGCCTTTAGGCAATCACATAAACATTAAATCAGATACAGATACTGTATCTAACTTGGTTAAACCTCCCAGTCATCTTTTGAGATAAAGGCAGTTATTTCAGGTTGCACTACCGAATTGTAAATTTGCAAAACTATTTTTGAATAGTCTTTAAAAATACTAAGGTTTAACGAATAGGCCACAATTTAATATAATTCATACAAATATGGAGAAGTCAAAGTAAACTCCAAATACAATCCACTAATGTTTTAACATTTTCACACTATGATATCAAAAAATTTTAAGGCAATATTTATGGTAAGTATTATTTATGTATATGTAAACAGAGAGAAAAAGCTATATGGAAAAACATACAAAGATGTACTCTTTTTCCCCCCCACCAAATCTCTGTTTATGTTAAATAAATGTTAAATAAATGGATGAGAAGAAAAATATTTAGCATGTGATATAACTGAGGTTGTCCCCTCCCCCTCTTTCAGGTTAAAATACTAATGAAGTAAATTCTATGTAAAACAATTTACTCTAACTTCTTTTAAAAACTCAGCTGCATTCCTGACTGACTGATCAATCTAGGAATCATAAACAATTGTTACCAATGTAGGCATTTTGCTTATCTGTATACCGCCAGCCAAGCATAATTCTTTCAAGGCGTGCACTCTTACACGAGTCAGTACACGGTCTTCTTACAAGTCTTTGTTAAACAGATTTGATTTATGAATGCTCAAACGATTTCTTAGACACAGAGATATTCAACAAACCTGAATAAGTACGCTTACATCCCTTTCTCTGTTGTTCCTGTCATGCTCTATTTCACAGTGATTCTTATTTCCAAAACGTTGTCTTGCTTACTGCCCCCACCTCCCATATAAAAAAGGTATAGTGATCAAAGCATTAAGAGTATTTGCAAGCATCATTAAAGGCAAATTACTCCTTTAAAATTTGACTATAACAACTGGCTTAAAACCCTGGCAGTGTTTAAATTTGTGAACAGTGTAAAGAGTAATATTCAGTATTCTAATTCACTGAAACTTGATTCCCTGGCTCTCTATAATCCCCGTGCTATTACGTTTTCAATCTGCTGGGAGGAAAAGAAAACCAAACGTTGGAAGGGGTTTTTTGTCAGATCCAGAAACAGATGTTTGGATTCAGTTGTGCAAGAGTACTTTGTAATGTCAGTTTAAGACAAAATTCTTTTGCACAGCATTATAAAGTCCTTTAAGCCAACTCTAAGCAAAAAGAAATCTAAAGTTAATTCAAGTGAGGGATGAGGTAAGCACTGAACTACAACTACTTGAAAGGAAGAGGGAAAGTGTAAAATGAAGTACATTTTATTCTATACACGGAACATTGAGAAATAGCACAAAATCTGTTGGGTTTTTTTTTAAAGTTGCAGCACCTCCTGTATTTCCTCTTTCATTAAAGACATCTGTTTCACCCACCTACCTATTTGAGTTGTCCAAAAAAGCCATAAACAAACAAAAAAAACTCCACCATAATTAAACAGCTGCATTGTTGCTTGCTGTATTTCAAACAGCACACTAAGCCCAGTGGGGAAGGGGTTTTGGATATCTTTAGAGGACAGAGGACAGCAAACTCAGACCAATCTGTGTGCCCCTGAATAGTCCATTTAGGTGTTTTAACTGGCTACACTATTGTTTCTGACCAGATGATGTAACCACTAGCTTTCACTTCACAGTTACTATAAAATTACATATATTTAATCATAAAGAATCTTACTATTTGTACATAGTCATTGCAGGAACAAAAATGACATTTTAGGTTTCCACTGGGCTAGAGCTACATGAAACAAAAGGACAGTAGAGGTGGAGGTGGCAGTGACATCACACAGCATACAGTAAGATGTGGAAGTAATACTTGCCTGACTAACGCAGAACTCCAGTAACTGCTAGTTACTTTCATTAACACTGAGAATACACATATCCTTGACATAGGATGGAAAGAAAGCTTTAGAAAACAGGGACAAAAAAAAAAGGTGATCCTTTTTTAGCCAAGGAACTTTAGTCACAAAGAAGCTGTCCTTAAGAAGGGCTAAACTGAAAGATGTGAAAATGCACTGACAGTAAGGTCTTCAGGCTCTTTGAAATTACTTTTCAACATTGAAATCATTCAGGCTTAAAAGAACAACTACTGAACATTTACAGGGCTGTCTTCAAATCTGACAAGACTGATGGCTTTAAGATCAGCTACTGTAAATTAAACCCTATCTGAGTAACTTGCCCTTTGACTTATAGCCAAACAATCACAGGAGACAAATGAAGAATATAAAATTATTTGAACAATTCTGATCAAAATGGACAAATCTGTGGAAGTAGTATCATGCAAAACACTAAAAAAGGTTATAACTGCCTTGAGGAATTAAAAAATAAGAAAATTTAAAGCTACACAAGTTGCAACTTCAGTTGAGATACAATCATTGTAACATTTCCAACTGTCCCCTTCTATGATGACTTCTACTAGGAAGAAGAAAAATAAGAAAAAGAAAAAAGGAGCCATTAATGTCCCCCTCTTGCAAAACTTTACTCTATTGCCTTTTCCATTTTGCACATGTGGTTGTGAAGATAGTTTCCATACACAAATCCTTCTTCACACACACCCCCTCTTAGAAACTTCTAAAATCCAAAGTAACCATTAGAACTCAAGGTCACATTTGCATTTGCTGTCAAGTCTCAAAAATCCATTTTCTGGAGTAAGTTGGAATTTGCCAGAAGTTGCACTGTTTCTGACGACATTTCCTAGCTCCACACGGCTGAACTATCCAGATACAACTGGTTTAATTAGAGGGTGAAAGCAGAGGAATTTATCTGTCTGTTGGTGGACTGCAGGCCGTAGGACCCCACAGATCTGTGGTTGGTTTATAGTTAAGAGCTTGTGAATTCTTTTTAGGAAACTGCGCGGCAAAACAGAACTTGCAACCAGAAACACAAAGGAGTATCTCTGCCTTTGCTCACAACTGCCAAAATAGCTAACCACTGTGCTAAGAAAAGGAAAAAATTAACAGAGGCCATAATGGTTTGGACACAAAGCTCAGAAAAAAACCCAAGACCAGCTGACTGTTCTAAAAGCAGGAAGATGGACAACCCTGTGAACAGACAAGTTAGTGCACGGGGTCTACACAGAATCCATGCAGGGATTTTTCCAATTCTTTTTTGCCTCTTCCCATGGAAGCAAAAAAGTAGAAAACATTACCAACTGAAATTCCACAGAGGAACACCAAACAACTCTAGGGAGATCTTGGATAAACTTTTTTTTTACTGTATACCTTGCAGAAGCTTTTTATACATGAACTAGCAAGCACCAGTGCTACAGAAAAAAATGTCTTCTACCAAAGCTGTAACTGTCAGCACTGGAGTTGCACTTTGAAGTTTTGCTGAGGAAGAAACTACATAAACAAAGTACACAGATCCTTGTTAAGTAACACATCCTGGAGGATGTTCTGAGATCCAGCTGCACAGCCAACACCATAAAATAAACTGTAAACAAATGGACCACTATAGACCATTCTTTTTTAAATGGGTACAACAATATTTCATCGAATATTTTCTGTATTGAGCTAGTGTCAGTTTTAGAAAGGTAACATCTGATGTTCATCCAAGACATGATACAGGCCAGACTAGAGTCCCTAGAAAATGATCATTTTAAGTTTAGTTTTTTGAATAATTAAGACTTACTTGTCCAATTTCTATTTTTAGCAACTAGTTTTTCATAGATCCCAGTGACTAAATCACTTTCTTATGGTCCCACATATGACTGAATTTCCTTCATAGTTAATTTGTATAAACATTTAAGAGATTGAGCTTCTTTAGCACTCCACTGTATAAGAAATTTGTAGTGAAATAAACTGGTTAAAACTGAGTGCAGTTCATTCAATTCAATTCTTGGGAATGTTTTCATGAGTAAAAAAATTACCGAATAAGAAGTACAGAATCACACGTTGGTCAGATAAAAGAGCTGGTCATCAGATGTGCAAAAACTATTTGCACCAACGCATTGTGTATTTATTTATGTAGCTGTAAGGCACTTACCTGCCACAAAGATTTCAATCCACATTTTTACTCTTATGAAGAACATCTCCTTGTCAGTACAATTAGCAAAACAAAGTGGGTTGGGTTTTTTTTCAAAAAATTCTAAATACGGGATATTCCACACAATCAACCTCAGGAGAAGCTACTTTCTAAAGGGAAAAGTTGGACTCAGCCTAGAAATTTTTAAGTGGTGCTTGGTGACATTGAATTTTCTAGAACTTTCAGGATGTCAAAAGAATCACCTTTTGCCCAAAATCTAGTTAATGAAAAGTGTCCCATCAGTGATGTTCCATGGATTATATTCAGAAACTTCAAACAGCTACCCAACCTTCTGGAACAATTTAATACCTGACTCCAGCAGAACCACCTAATGCTGAACGAAAACTATCTTTCTGTGCCTTGCTTAATCTTGTTAACACTACAGAGAGGATGAACAGATTTTTGGTCCATCATTTGTACCTCAAAGTAAATTCCTTTTCCTGGCTGTGGTCAGCCACTCAAATACTGACTCTGCATCTCTAATAAAACATGTGTTTGTCAGTTGATTAACCAGTTGATATGGAAGTGAAATGTCTCAATTTTAATCCTGTTTTGGAAAATGACCACAAGAAGCTTCAGCAAGTGAATTTACTTGTTTTTACCATATCCACCTATGTAAAGTAACTGAAGAACCAAGTCTGGTAAATAGAAAAAAGCTTAATGTAATTTTTAATTGATTTGCTGACAGGACATGCTATAGAGACTCCTCTGACTTGTAATTGGAATTTTCTTCAAAATCTGTTTAAAATTTAAATTTAAGCTACTCAAGACATTAAGCACAGTAAGTCCTGCTACAGTCAGTCAGTTCAGTATTGTAACTGTTGACTCAGACTAAGGATTCTTTGCAGCCACAAAAAATAAATGCAGGCTAAACACTTCATATCCTATCTCTCATAAATGGAGTAAAAATATTCACATAGAACTAGGGTTAGCAGTTGCCTTTTAATTTTCTTCTTTCGGGGTCATGCACAGTGACTACAGTGAGACTTAAAGAATAACTTATGTCCACTGAGAGGTGCTGTGCTGCTTTTTCCTTTTTTTTCTTTTTTTTTTTTTTTTTTAAAAAAACCCTCATGTTCTGGCAATAAGAAGTTGATTGATATATTGTGATTTCCCAAATCAAATTTCTGATCAGGCTCACTCTAGTAAAAATAAGTAAATATTTTAACTTGAATTATAACCAAAAAAATGTTATTTACATTCCAAACCTGTAAATGGAAAAAAAAAAAAATTTCCTCTGAAAAGCTGGAGACTCTTATCACCACTGCAGATGATGCACAGATACAGCAGTTCATACGTAATCTATAATTATACAATTTAAATTTTTTTTTTAGGATAGTCATTACTTGTTTATAACTGCAACTGCAGAGAGCAACAAAAAAACCCCCGAGTTTGCAAATTGTTTAAGATCACTAAGAAAACCATCATCCAATATGAACTGTGCTCAGAAAAAGGCATATTCGGCATTAGAAGCATCCCTTTTGTGCAGGCAGACAGAGCAAGGCAGGGAGGAGATATATTTTGCAGTTCTCAGTAAAAAGCACTTAAACACTATGTGACTTGAAATACTGTACCTCACATGCTTATGTAAAACTAAATTTCAAATGACATGCAAGAAATCTCTCATTCATTAAACATTTTTCACTCTGATCAGATGTGCTACATACACTGAAATACCTTATTAAAAGTACTATCCGGCCAATTCCATAGGGACATCATTGGGGTATGTACAGTAACAGCTGGTTTTACAGGTAATCTTTTCAGGAACGTGCAGGCTTTTCTTTTAGCTTTTTCCAGTCATGGAAAATAGTTATGTCATGAAAAATACTTCACATCAACTTGGAAATTCATTTAATTAATATACTCATACAACATATTAGTATTCTATGTTCTAAAACACAGTTCCATCTTGGTGGCTGCTACTAGAAAACTTTTGTTCCTTCCTTCCCCAAACCAGCTGCACTTCAGAAGGATGATGATATCACAATACTCAATAAAGGCTATAACCTATCTATTAATTAATGTGCTATGTAGCATCCTGCAACTTCATTTAATAGCTTGTCTAGTTGATTTGATGGATTTTATTGCCACTTCTGCAGCCACTAAGGCTACTAACATTTAAACCTCTAAGATCTTTGAGAATTCTTTGAGAATACTTTAGTCTGAGTTCTTTGATGCACTATTCATTTAATATTCAACTAAATAAATCACTTAGCTTGTTAAAGGTTATGAAATACTTTACACAACTATCAAATTTGTGAAAATTTCCATATCTGAGTGCTTCTCAGTATTTACATGGTGCTGGCAGTTTCTGAAAAAATTAAGGATACTGCAACTTTAAAAAAGAACATACAGATTTGAATGTTACACACCTTTGGAGCCCATTATCTGAGCAATCTCACACTGAAACATTAATCCAAATCAAATCACAACTTAGACCGTATATAGGATAAAAAGAGTATTACACAGGGGGAGGCTCATATTCAGCTACTATCTATTCACTGTATGTTTGTGTCTACAGACTATTAGCACAACATTCCTCCCCAGTAAATGATCTGGTAGATATGATGAAGGCAGTCAATTATTTTGCCACAAAGCTTTTAAAATTAACTTTGTTAGCTTCCTTACAGGAATACGTCAATTTATATCACAAAATGTTTTTCTGTAATAAAATCATTCAACAGAAGGTCTGAAACACAGGAGGGAGAGGGGGGGTTGTTTTTAAAAAAATCAGTAACATTCATATCAATCATCTCCCCGTGTGTAATAGTCTCAGAAGAATAGGAATGGAAATCCAGCCCTGGGGTTTCTTACCTTAAATCTAAGCAACCACTTAATGCATAAATGGAGCAAATAAAAGAGGTAAGGAAAAAAAGCATTGAAAGGTTAGTTGGAACTTCAGGATATGAAGAGAAAGGAAAAAGAAAGAAAAAAGTTAAGCATTCAGCATTAACAAAATAATGTATCAGTAGATCATAGAAAGAGTGATTAAAGCAGAATGTGTCATGAACAGAAGATTTTCAAGCTGAAACTTTTAATATACATTAACCACAAAGCCTTTAGATTAACACCTTAAAATTAACGCTCAAATGCTTGTACACTGTTTACTCAAGTTCTTACAGTGCGAACAAAAAGTCTGCTTCTTTCAGATTGGATCATGAGATCTAGATGTAAGATTACCTTCAGAGATTAATTTATTTGAGCTGTCAAAGAATAGCCTTATCGATATCCTGAGCTCATTTAAATTGTCATACACGTTAGCATACTTACAACTAGCTGAAACAGAAGCCTCTAGAATATTAAGCCAATGTGTGTTCTTTCCTAGACAATGTTGTGAGTTACTCTTAACCTGATGCCATGGGGCATTTCTTGAACAAAGATTAAAAGCAAATCATTACATCCTGTAAGAAGTACAGCACTCCATATGGATACTGCACCACATATCTGTATTTTCCAAACTATATATTAAGACATTAACCAACAGCAAAATCTTATTTTAAAGTCTAAGTGCTAGCTATTTGACATTAAGTCCTACACCTTACTTGCACAACACCAAGTATCTTCTTACACCATAATAATCTTTTCAAAAATATTAGTCTTTCCATTTGAATATCACTCAATCTGTTTTCAGTTCAGCTAATAAAAAGTTATCATTACATTTCTTACATTTTTTGTAACACTGAACATTAAACATGCAAAATCTCAACAGTGGAGCATCCAAAGTGACTACTCTGTTTCACCCATTTAGAAGAGACTCTAATGTATTAAAAAAGAAACATGATCTGATTTACTAGAAAATCTCCTGTCTTTGAGTAAAGTTCCATGGATCTATTAACCAAAACAGCCTCTGCTTCATAAAGCTACAGTGGGAAACCAGGTCCCCCTGTATTGGCCAGGGTGGCCAATTAGAGGGTCCATGTGCAGCATTGCCTGATAATTACAGTGCCTTAATACACGCCACTCTGAATGGAATAAACCTTTGGGGTTTTTTATTTTCTTTGGTCATCCTCTTTGACTAGAGAAGTTTTTGGAGGGAAGAACATACTGGAAGACTTTGACTTTGTAACTCACAACACAGTTGAAAAAAAGCAAAAGCAAGTCTCTTTCAGACAACAGGTTTTTAGATTTTTGCAGCACTGTAGCTTCAAGGAGGGAAAATGAGGAGAGACTGCTGGAATTATAGTGTGACACTCAAATTCTCTCTCGCCTAGTAAGAAACCATATCATAGAGCACTTTCTCCTGAAGATTGTATCCACCGATGCTTCAAATTTCTAAATGGAAAAAACAGGTGCTCCAGTGCCTATACTAGTTCTCTCAACATGGCATGCTGGATTTCTTGGCCAAGGATGCTCGCTTTTTCACCTGTATTATTCTCTGTCCAGTTAGCCATCTTTATTTGGGATCACAATGAATGCGCTTGCATTTGCTCTTTGACTGTCCTGACAATGCATAATTCTGGGTCCAAGTACTAGGGGGAAAGCTCTATACCAGAAAAAGCAGAAAGAGGACAAAGAATGCAGACCAAGGAACCCTGATGCTAACTGAAACGTTAATGCTATTTATGCAATAACTACATCTGAATACTTACTTGAAGGAAAAAACACCACAGCTCAAGGAAAAAAGAGCTAAAAATAGGCAAATTAAAAACTCCTACCCCTTTTCTTTTTTTGTCTTTATTATCCAGCCAGAGATCTAGTAAAATAATCTGTAGTTACTCAAGCAGAACAAAAACAACAGGTTCATAATCACAACTGGACGCTTTCTCCCCATCAGCAAGAGTGGTTCTTTGTACTGAACAAAGAATTAACCTGATTGGAACACATCTACGGATCTTAAGGATAGCATCATTTCAAGTTCTCTGCTTATTGTTTCACAAGTACACAATGCTTTTTCGTTTTCTAGATAAATACAGTACATTGTACACATCATTTTTAAGATGTTTCAAGCATATCACAAGCATAATAAATGGATGCAAATACACATCCATTTGATGAACTATGTTCTTTCAGAAGAACATAATTCCTTGCATCACAGTATGTTTCTGCTACCTTGAGGTAAGTGGGACACCAATTATAATGGTTTAAAGCCAGTGCTAAGTCCTTTTCTGTGCTGCAGAAAAATTAAAAACTATTCTTTAGTGAGTTCTAAAATAATATCTTTAAAACAAAACTGATCATTAAAATATTAGCAACAGTAATCCTACAGGTTAATATGCTCCATCCATATCCAGAAGGAGTTCTGCTGACCTGCATAAATTCAAAAGTTTATGAGAACTGGCACTAGATTTTAACACAAGACTGATAATAATTTCCAGGTCAAAACTGTCACTATTAATGTTGGAGGGGTTTTGTTTCATTTGATTTTCCAAATCAAGCTTAAAGAGTCACTCGTCTTTTTAAAATCTGTTTAGAGTTACAAACTGAGGTTGACTCTTTTAGTAAGAAATGGGGAAAACAGACTTTCTGTTAATGAACAGGATGTTGAGAAGACCTTGGGTAAAACTGCTTGGGAAAGCTATTTAAATCAGACTGCTCAGAATCTGAATTTTAAGAGTTGCCACTTAAAAGGCTATACAAGCAGACAGTTCAAGCTGAATAACATAAATAACCTAATGCAGTTAGGTGTCAAGCAAAAGAAATTCTGGTGTACTTTGACTGGAAGAAGCATCTTACCTTACTGCCACTTAGCAGGTTTACAGATTTGTTAGTCTGTCATGTAAAAATGACACTGCTTTGTGTTATTTACTTTTCTTCTCCTGTAACTTTAACACTGTCAGTGTTCTCATTTCCCTATTTGTTTTCCTGGCAGCACAAGTTAACAATGAGCTCACACCTGCTAAGACTGTGTTTACATTCAGGATGGGCTTTTAAAAAGGCATATCTTGTCTCAAACACGGTATTACTGCTGTTGTGCACGCTGATCTAACACTTGCATACAATAGCCACCAGTTGTGTCTCAGTGTGATCTTTGCCCCAAAATTCCTCCTTTTTTCCTAGTCTTAAAAGAGAGAACCAGCTGGCTTCAAACTTGGCAGAAGTGTTCCCATTCCAAAACTCCATATGGCACAAAAGTTGTAGAGAGCTCTCTTTAACAAAGCACATCACAGGATATGCGTATAACTGACTCTGACAGAAAGAAGAAAAGGAAGTACATGATACTTCTTATGCAAACCCTTTCTTTGGGTGAGCTTCAAAATAAACCAGTGGCAATTACAGCTGGATGATACTTTGTGGTTCTGATTCAGGAAGCAAAGTGATGGTCATTAGCCTTTCACTCCCCCGGTATATCCCTGGCAACTGATTCAAACAATAGCAGCAGCATCACACAAACAGGTATGCAGAAGCATTTTAAAAGGTGAGACCCATAGTCCTGAAAATCCTCAGAAATAAGATTCAGTGGGTTTGCAAGGTTTAAAAACACAGGGGCATGAAAATGGGAAGGGGCAACTGCAGATTGGACACAACCCCTCTTATGTTTATAGACACACTGGCCAGGCAAGGAGAAACTGGTATATTACCATGAAAAACATCAGGTTATTTTGAAAATATACAAAGACAATGTATTTGCAGTTTGGCTGTTTTAACAATATCACCTACCTTCACTCCATGTCCAATATCATCTAGAATTGTATAATCAATAGGTTTCCTGATGTAGCGAACTGGTCGCTCCAAGTTAGCTGGTGCAATGATTTTGTGAGTTCTTGAGGTGTTTTTGTTTGTAGTCAAGATACCAATTTCTCTTCTAGCAACTTTCTCTTTGTGAATGTCCACCGTCTACAAAAGACGCAGTGTATTTACTAACAGTGGTATGCATTTGAATACAGAGTCAGTATAAAAAAAAAAAAAAAAAAATTGAACCAGTTCCAAAGTTTTGAAGATCTCTGTATACTATGTTAAACATATCACTACATATACTTGATTACATCATCTGTGTTCAATTTACTGTTGAACTTGCAGCCTCTAAACCCACAGTAATAGCTACAGATTCTTTGGGTTTTCTGTTACTCTTGTTCTTTACAGTTCAGCAAAATTCCTTCTCCCTTCCATTCTTAGTAGTTCCCATTAATTTATTGACACTGTTTTATACAGTTCCTTCAATTACAATTTTTAATTTTACAATTGCTCTCTAAGCTTGGAAATAGGCTCCAACTAGATGAAGTGTAAGGATACCTTCCCAAACCTTAACTTTTAGGACCTGAAAAACAAACCATAAGCTGGTATTCTTACACCGTAAAACAGCTTGCTAAACTAGGACTGGTAGTCATACGATAAAATAAAATTTGACTCAGAAAAATCAACACGGTATTTCAGTCATTACAAATCACTCATCACAAAGCAACGATTAGATTTTAAAAGGTGCTCAATACTAATTCATCCACAACGAAGCCAGTGGTTAAGCCCAGTGTCTTCACTTAGAATGCCTAAGACCAACACTGAAAATCCCTCCCTCCACACACTACAGTTAGTACTACAGGAGAATCTCTAGTAAGACAAAGATCTGCTGAAAATTCATTGCCTAAAAACATGTACTTGAATCTTGTTTGGTAACAAGACTAGGAAAAACTTACCAAAAAGTCTATCTATCCCTTCCAGGAAAGTAAAATCTCTTAAATCACGGTGCATGGAGTTGCTCACAACATTTAAAAACAAAACAGCTTTCCCTATAGGAAATTTGCCAGAGTTGTAAACAAACATTTTAGCTACAGGCTAAAAAAAAAAGTAAGAAAACGGGCAGAATCACCACCATTAGGGTTTCTAAACATTCACTGGATTTCCTGTTACCACTTCAGTGATCATAAATGCTACCAGAAACACTTTTCACAGTTAGAGACAGGCTCTGTAGCAACTAAGAAACACATACAAATGAAAACTCATTTTCATAACACACATTTTTTAAAATTTCACTGTTCTTTGTGGAAGGATTGGGACAGTGGGGTTGGTTACGCTGTTTTACGCTTTTGTTTGAGCTACTGATAGCAAAACAAGCAAAATGGACCCTATACTGCAATCACCACAACTTTTAAAACTACAAAAATTACAAAAAAAAACCCTAACCCCCCCAAAAAAAATTGTTTCTTTGCATTCTTTCTAGAGAATAATTGCGATAAATACCAGGGGCATTATATGGAAACTTAAATTACTATCTATCAAGACTACCTAGTATTTTCCAGGCACATGTCTTCAAGACCTTGCAACTCTGCTAAAATTAAGGCACAGTTTTGTTATGTACATTTCTGCCACCTCTAGTGCCACCTGCCTAGAACTAAGGTTTCTAAAGCTGCACAGCCATTTCTTAAAACAAAGCTACAGAAAAACAGATTATTCAAGGTCAAAATATGTTGGCAACCCTCTCTTTGGAAAGCTCGAATTTGTTGAGCAATCATTTGAAATTCAATAGGGGTGGTTAAACTATCTGGGACACATCCTCCATCATCCTCACAAAAACCCACCCAGATTTGGCCAATATACAGACTCTGCAGAAATTCATGCATGCATGTTTAATACAAGCTTAACAGAAACATATATTTGTATGACTACTTAACAACTAAACCACTCCACAACCAATTTTGCCAAAGTTCTTCCTGAAGCTCCCTGCGATGACCAGGTCTATATACCATCAATACAACAGTGCAGATCAGATCTTCACAGCTCTTACGATACTATTGATTATACAAGCACCAGCACAAACAGAGTACATAACCATGTTCCAGGGAAGAATACCAAAAGTGTACCATTCCTCATCAGGGTGAAAGTCAGTATTTTATCTTCCATCACAAGTTTTTATCCATTCTGTGTCAGATCTTTACTTTTACAGCATAGTGGAAGAAGGAGTTCTGAAACAAGCAGCAGTCATCCCAAGGAGATCATCTACAGAATCCTCACCTCATCTGTTGAGGAGTTAGAAAGCACATGCTTTCCTGATAAGCTAACAATATGCGATTGCACAATAACTTGGAGGACCATCTCATGTTTAATACCACTGAAGAATTCAATCCCTACAATTATCTCAGACTTTATCTTGACATGCCACTGGAGAACTTAAAAACATTACACTGACTCTTGTATGCTCCGGGTTTCACGTGCTACTGATACCATTTGCTAGAAAAAATTTCAGCTGCACCTCAAATGCTATATGATGTTTCAAATGTACTGAAATATCAACATCTTATGGGTCTGAATCTGTTCATTCAAAACTAGTTTATGCCTTGGACATTACGCTCTCAGAGCCTTGATTCTGATCTACAAATCAGAAAGAAAACAATTAGTGCAGTGTTGGTAAGATGATTTCTTCCTTTCCCTCCATTTCAAGTGCTTGACCTGCAACTTTAAAGATGTTCTTTTAGTATTTTCTTATGCAATCATCTATAAATACAATGGGAGTACAGATATTTAAAGCATAGGTTATTGTAGTGATGGTATCTCGGCACTGTGGAAACTTTTTTCCATGAATGAAAAGCATGGGGTTTTTAATTATTCATAGGAGTTGTGAGTACAACCAGTTTCCTTAAGGACTAACGTGATCAGTGAAGCATAACTACAGTAACAAACACTGAAATGCCTAAAACCTAATTAAAACCTGAAGCTCATTTAATGGGAATTCTCTTGCATGATGATTCAGAACATCTCTTGTACTTTGAATAGCCGTGGAATGAATAAGAGTATAAAACCAGCACCTAACTCTGGTACATACTCCCAAAATTGTATTGAAAAGCATTTTGCTGGCAGGTTTTTCAAAATTTCATTTCCTTGTTTAGTAGGCTACTGGAGTCATAAGATCTTAAGACACCTATAAAACAGCAGAAAGGAACATTCAGGTATTTGATTAGTGGAGAAAGGAACAAAGATTAACCTGCTACTAAAGAAAATTAAAACATTTACCCTCAACACACTGGTAATTATTGCCTCCAGTACTAGCATAAATCCCTTAAGTGAGACAGGAGAATGCTAGCAGAATGTTTATTCAGCAGCTTTGAAATGTCTATTGGGAAGTTTTTTGGGTTAGAGCTGCACTGACAAAACACCTGGCTCAGAAAGTCTGTCAGGAAAAGCAAGATGGGATACACTGTGCCCTTCTATAACTTAAAAACCAGTTTCCTAACGAGCCCTTTCAGACTCCTGACAGCATTATTACACTTTTTCCCCCCATAGCTCCAATCCCTTTGGCAAATCTTTTAAATGACAGTTAGAGGTTAGGCTCATTACTATCATCTTTTCATATGCTTTCCAAGATATCTGCAATAAGCTAAGGGGAAAATAAAGTATAAACCAATGCACTTTCTTCTATTAGGAATTTTCTGGCCATTTTGAAACATCAACTTTCCATGTGAATTCAGTAAAAACAGCCTCAACATCTGTAAAGATTAAAATAAAAAAAAACCACCCAACATTAAGTCACTTCTGGGATTCCAAAGTTAACACTATTTACCATTTCACTGAAAAGTCACTGAACTCAAGAGTTTTGAGAAATATTCTCTTCTACCTGTAAGTGAAATTGCTTGAAGTATTAACACTTGTGCTGGTTTTGGTTAGGATACAGTTAATTTTCTTCACAGTAGCTATGTAGGACTGTTTTGGATTTGCACTGAAAACAGTGTTGATGATACAGAGATGTTTTTGTTACTGCTGAGCAGTGCTTACACAGGGTCAAGGCCTCTTCTGCCTCTCACCCCACTCCACCGGTGAGCAGGTTGGGTGTGCACAAGACATTGGGAGGGGACACAGCTGGGACAGCCAACCCCAACTGACCAAAGGGATATGCCAGACCATATGGTGTCATTCTCGGCATATACAGCTGGGGAGGAGGTTGGCAGGAAGGCTGCTGCTTGGGGACTAGCTGGGCATCAGTCAGTGGGTGACAAGTAATTGTTTTCATTTACAACACTTCACTTGCTTGGGTTTTATTTCTCACTCTTCATTAATTCCTGTTTCATTACCATTTCTCACCATCATCACTATTATTATATTTCAATTATTAAACTGTTTTCATCTCAAACCACCAAGTTTTGTCACTTCTACCTTTTTTACCCCACAACCTGCTGGGGGGGGGAATGACTGAGCAGCTGTGTGGTCCTTAGTTGCTGGCTGGGGCTAGACCACAACAACACTTTGAAAGTAAACTGTAGTGAAATTTCAGAAATAAAAGTCTCCAGAAGCCTTGATTTCTTCCTCTTCTCAAAACATTCTAATTTAAATTTATCAATTTATTATCAGTCTGTTAGTCTAGGCTTGTAAAATGCAGTTTAAAAAAAAGAAAAAATCTTTGATGAAAATGTTGCTTAAATACGTTGTCACTGGGGTTTTATTTTTTTAAAATCTAATTTGATAGAAATTAAACAAACTAATTGCAAATTACCTTGAAAACTGTATTATGACATGTTAAAATGAGTAACTGTCTAATTTTGACATGTTAGAAATGTGACATTAAGTGCCTCGATTCAAGTTGTATGTAATTTATACACAAAGAAGGAGGTGACAATGACACAAAAATGCTGAAAAGATACTTGATCCATAAACCAGTAATATATACCTTGGAAAATCAGACGTGTTACCATTTTTGAAAGAGTTTGGCTATTCTTGTAACTTGCAAGAATAAGACAACTAAAAATGGTTAAAAGCCCTTATTGACTTATCAGTGGAAGGTCCACATGAACTTCCTGCAGAGACCAACCAGCTCACACATGTTGCTACAGTTCAGCTACGCAACACATGCTGACTACAGGGAAGTTCAAGTCTGTAGTTTATTCAAGATCTGTTCTCACTGCCAATGTCATAGGAGTCAGATTCTGTAAGAAAAGGATGAAGCAGATTTTGTCATCATGCAGTGCCATTGGAGATAACTCATCACTATCACTCATATTTGTGATAACATTGCTTGTTTATCAAATTAGCAGCAGAGATTTTAAAGATGACCTTACTAACTAGGAGTATTCTGTAACTAAAACCTGAAAAAATATTTCTCATCATACAAACATTAAAACCTGAAAATCTGCCAGATTAATTTAAAGAATTTGGATGTTAGCAACATTTCAGTGTCTGCTAACTTGAAAACTGCAACACAATTTTTTAAATGAGTATAAATATTTATACAGATCATCTGTATTTAGGATTTAAATTTTCAGCCAAGTATGAAACACTGCATATCATCTAGTTCTGGACAAGGTTCAAGAAGGCAAGTAAGAATAGATTCATCAGCTTTCAGACCTAATCAAAGTAATCCTAAATTTTAAACCAGTAGGATTTAATCACTTGCACAAAAATAGTTTCAATAGTAACAATTTCCTTATTCAGGACCTATATATAATCTGAAAAACCACAAATTATTATCAGTTTCCTTTTCAGCTATTTGATTAAGCTGGCATTTAGAAGGAAACACAGAAAATGCCATAATTTGGCATTCTATCAATGAACAGATAACTAGAATATTTTATAATCTAAAGTTAATCACGTCTCTTCCACTTTGAGCTACACTTGAACAAAACAAGCACTTTTGAAAAAGTTTTCTTACTAAGAGCCAAATGATTTTGCCCCTCTCTTTGGGGAATATGTGGAATTCAGAATCAGAATTAAAAGAAGGATTATACATCCAAACATCATAATTTGATTAATGTTTTTCTAAACTTAAATATCAGTACCTACTGATGAAAGCATTAATGCAATAATGCACTGCAAACAAATGGTAATTACCAACCTGTTTTCTGTTCTACGTTACTGACATCATTTCAAGTCAGACTGACTGGAACCATAATTTGGCAATAAGGTATTATACCATGAGGCATTTTAAGTGGTACTAGAAACAGTCCACTAAACTTTACACCCAACATAAAAAAGACCGAAGAAGTCGTCTGCAGGTTAGGCTTGTTCCAGGAGACGTATAATCAAATTCCCTGTAAAGAAATTATTTATTACCTAGAAACTGTGACAAAAATAGTTCATTTTTAAAAGAAAAATAACCACTGAAATTAAGACAGATGACATAACCATCTACAACATCGGTATCATGGGACAAAGTAATTTCTGAACATACTGAATCTAAACAAGGTTCCTTGGATCAACACACTTCATGCATGCAATATTCAAAATTCAAATACTGTCTGCTTCTCTGATAATTTCTTCCACGGAGATTTGGGGAGTATCCTACATATGGATGATACAGACCCAAAACAAAACCAAACTCAATTTTCAATTTTACAGCAATATTTTTAAAAAACCCACAAACTTTTTTTTGGTTGTTCCAAGTGCAGCCTATGAATTTTGGTAGACACATCTTCATTAGGTGTTGGGCACTGGTAATTTAGTGCTCCATTTTAAATAACTATACATTTTGTACAAATGCCAAAGACAATCTAACCTAGCATCCCAATCTGTATAAATCTCAGCTTCCCAGAAGGAAAAAAATTAAACTGCTATGGCCCTTCCCCCAAAGGTACTTTACAGAAACTGTGTGACCAAATTAACTTTCCACATCTGTAAAACGCAAAATCCAGTGAACTCCAAATATTTTTATTCATATACTGTCTTTTGCATCAGGCTCTCAAATAGCTGAAATACTTGTCAGCTGCACTAGCCTGTCAAGAAGCACATACATACACACACAAGTACACACTCAGAGGCATATGTGCACATACACTGCATATATATAGCACATGCATACACACACATACCGATTAATCTGTGACATTTTCGGGGGAAAAAAAAAAAAAAGCATTGACTTGTCCCTGGATTAACAAACAGCATGTAGCAGAAGAAATCAAATTTTTCTGCTTATTTCTGAGGATGCAGTTGCATGAGACAACGGAGGCAATCTAACAGTGCACTACTACCAGAAGGGAAAGTGCTCCCTTTGCACCTGGTCTGGAATTCATCTGACTCCTCAGTGAGCCAATTCAGCTCATTAAGCTAGCATAAAATTATTCACTTCTTTTGCTGATTCAAACTTCTACTCACTTAAGCAACCCTTTCAGCACCTGCAATTTAACACATCAGCTCAATCTGCTTCTTTCCTAACCTTACACAGCTCTTACTTTCAAATGTCTTTATAAATATCACGATATTATTTATTACATTATCACACAGAGATCAAGAAAGCCTAGCAGCCAAAATATATTGGTCAAGTAAGACACAGAATATTCAGTAAGGATGCCAACCAACTCTCCAGTAACAGAAACGAAGTGCTGTATCATTGCTCTTAATTTATCTTTTAATCCCATCATTGGCGTGTAAAGCTCCACAAAATCTATCATACATCCTCAGCCCATTCTGGCAGTCAAAAATTCTCTCTATCAGTGTGGTGATGGGACGTGGGTTCCTGATCAGAAAAGCTGCAAACAATGGCAGGAGTTCTGCAGCCAGACACAAGCTTGAAACATTAATTTTGTCTTCTGTTCATGTCATTGCAAAGTACGTTTCATTAAGAAAAGCCAGGAGCGAACTATTTTTGTCATCTACGCTTTTGTCATTAGATACCAGTATTACAGCAACAGGAAAAGTAAAAATATGACAAGTACTGTTTTCCACCATCCACTTCATATTTCTTTCTTTTAATTTTAAGGGCCTGTAGCCAATAAATACCAAGCACAATCAGTAATAGGAGTTGGAAATCTTAATCTGTACCTTAACATAATATTCTGATTTTTCCATTAGGGATTTTTCTGTGCTTTCCAATTATATAGAATGGCCCCCCTCTCCAATCAATAAACTAGCTAAGAATACATTTAATCTCTTATCCTATGTAAAATGCTCACACTAACAGATATACAGTCACATAAAACCTATTCCCAGAATTAATGAGAAGAAATGCAACCATGTGACTATTTTTCTCATTCACAAAACGTCAGGTGAGAGTTTTACTCACTATGTAATTTCAAGAACAAAAATCAAAATTAAAAGAATATCAGGAAAAAAGTCTCACTTGTGAAATATGGTTGATTGAAGATTCCATGCGTCGAAGTTGGGATGCCTGGATATCCAGCATTTGGAGAACATTGTTGGCCAAAGTGTTGATCAGATAGGCTACACTTGCTAATGACTGGGTTGTGTAGGCTTTGGTTTCTTCCAGGGCTCGCTGCTTATCTGCTGACTAAAAGTAGAAATAAAAGGTTTATTTAGTAAAGTCTCTCACTCAAATATTCTTGGAATTAAATCCTCTTGCCTGTCTTTAAAGGACAAAGAATTATACAAGTCAAACTAATTCTACATCAAAGTTACCATTTTTCCTCCTTTCCATTCATTCCATAAAAGATACTAACTGTAATTTTAGAGTTTCTATGCTTTATAAAAGGAATTAAGCTAGTATACAACATACTCATCTTTTCTTCAAATACTTAAAGTGCAACTTTTTATACTGCATTTTAGCAATAAACTTTAAAAGAACTCTGAGATACTTCTTAAAAGAACTCTGAGATACTTCTTCTTTCGTTGTTCTAAACTTTGTACTGTTTAAATATTTAGTTCTTCCAAACTTTATATTTCAATTAGATCTCATAAGAGTCTGGAAGGATCTGCCAAATACCATATTCCTCATCTCTCCCAGTTATTTAGACCTCATTATTGCCACAAATGGTCATTCACGTGAATGAACTATAATTATTCCCTTAAAATGGTTACTGAGTAAAATGTGAGAGGAGTATTTTTAAAAAGAACAAATCCATGTTTTCTTTTTAAACGTTTTCTGCTTCTTCACATTGTCAGTAATTTCTTCTATGACAAATTAGTATGATTCATTTTTCTAGTAGTAGTAAAAATATTTAGGCTATCAAGCCAAAAGACATCCCTTAGAAGTTTAAAAACACACATACATTTCAAACAACATTAAAAATAATACGCTAAGAGTCTAGTTGTCAGGGTTCTGTGTTTCTCCTCGAACAATAGTTAACATCACTAAAATCTAATTCAGTAAAAAGAATGAAGATTAAAGCACTGGTAAAACATACAATTAAGATGCTAGGAAACTTTCCAGTTTCCAAGGCTTTGGAATATACTGAATTTCACTTTTAGGTGATCTTTAGCCACCTCACAGGCTGATGGCGCTGTTTCTAAAGCAATGGTTGACAAATGTTTTCTACTCCCAACTGCCATTATAATACTGTATTTCATAATTTCCTTTCCTTTAGATATTATTTACAGAAGATGGGTATCACTTTTCTTAGAGGGGAAATATAAAGTCATTCCATATCTTTCAGCACAAGCTGAATCTACCATCCATGTTATTGTATGTAGTTTGGGAAACACTGGAAGAAAGCACATCTCTTTCAGAAAAATAATTCTTACAGCCCAAGGTATTTCCCGAGATCTTGTAGTAAGACTCTTAAAAAAGGTTGCTAGCTTTCAGGAAAAAACAATGCCACACATGTAAACACAGACACAGAACTTCAAGTAAACACTCACATGAAAGATACTGACCACTTTTTCTTTCCTGGCAACCTCTCCTGAATCCACAAACAACAACGGTAACTTGGCTGGCCTGTTAGCATTCCTCCTTCTTGCAGGCCATACTGGTACCACTGCCTAGCCTGCTTCTCGAAAGGAGGGGAGCAGCTGCTGCTCAGCCGTCCAAGAGCTCCTACGGTGGTGCAGGAGGTGAGGAATGCTGCAGCAGGTAAGCATTCTTGCCTGGCTGTTTCTTTCCCATGCAGCAGACAAAACCAGACCCAGCAGCAGAAGGAACTGAAAATTTTAGGAGACAGCTTCTCAGGGCACAGTATAATGATGTTCCCCAACAGAGCAGGCTTGTAAAGGCTGCCTTATATCCCGCTATATAGAAGTTAGATAAATGCTATCCCCCAGACCCCATTTAAGAATTCATGACTCCTAGCCAACTGGATAGCATGTCTTTTATATAGAAGAGCTCCAAACTCAGGTTAAGGACTCCCAAATGAAGGAATACAGAACTCTTTACCTCTGCTCTCACATTGTTGGCTTATAAACGCACTTTCTTTCCCTCTCCCTACTCATAACCCCAAAACTCAGTCTGCAAATATCCCCACAGCAGGCATACATACAACAAGACACTTTCACAGCTATTCAAACAATATCTAAACAGCAATAATAAAAATGACCAGAAGCCTGTCAGTTTTGCTCTGCAGCTGCAGACCAAGTCTATTTATAGAAGCAGAAACTGCTGATTTACATTAGCACACTGTACATCCACAATAGCTGAGTAGAAGCCAACAAACAATTTTTTTTTCATTAATAGCCAAAATGTTTGAGAACAAAAGGAAAACAATCTATCATTTTAGAAATGATGAGCCTCTGCCGTGGTTCTACTGCTTAAAGAAGCACAAATATGAATACATTCAGAGCTAGTCCTACTAGTATAATCTAATAGCTACATTCAAGCCATCCCCATTCACACTAGTTCAAACCAACATGGAACCGGCTTCTGGCACATTAAAAATTTCATAAAACAACAATCCTATAAACACATTTGGAACTGTTATTAGCATAAAAAAAAACCTTCTGATTGAGAGGTCTAGTTTGTGTATTTGGCTGATAACCTGAACAATTACAATTTGCTCTGCATGTCTTTCTAGAGGCCCAAAATTCTCTAAACCAAAAACTCCACTCCTGTCTGGCACAGCAAAACTGAAGCTTGAACTTTCTCCCTGTATACTGAAAGATGCAGAATGTGTTGAATTTTCAAATTAAAATTACTGTTTGAACCTAGTATTGTCAAGCCATGTCACACCAACAAAAAATTAATGAATGACAGTATTTTAAAACAATCAAGTTTACCCTAAAAACTTTCAAGGGATGAAAGCTTGGGTCTCACACAGTGACTAGGAAAAAGAGTCTGGAATACTTAGAGCAAATCTGAAGTCCCCTTGTAGATGTAATACTAAATGTCAGTAAAAATTTAACTCAAAATGTTGTGTTCGGCACAAAATTTAAACATTTAATTTGGAAAGTAGACTCCCAGAGAATGCTCCTATGTAACAAGCTCCTCATGTATATTCCTGATGGACATCAGATTCTATTGCTTACAACTGCTGCCATGCTCAAACCTAGCAACTGATTTAGATAACTAAATGGCATACTGATAACTACCTGAGTATGCAGCTATGTAACTACAGGGATTTCTGCAAATAAGAATGATTTCAAGTTATCACTAAACCAAATTCAAACATAACCCTCATCAGACTGAGATCTAATACTCTGATCTTCAGAACACCAAAATACCAGCCAATATGCTTCAAACCTGACTGTAAAGCAGGCAAAAAGTTATTTCAATATCCACATCTTCCAAAACTCTCTAGTTAAAGATAAAAATACTAATTTGGCTCTAATCAAACTGATAGCCTCTTTACAGTAGTTTCAGTAACCTATGGAATACTGTTTCTATGTAAAATATTGAAAACAAGAAAAACATTCTGCTATGTTCATTAACAAAATGAAGACTCATTACCATGAATACTTAAGGATATTAACCAGAGCCGCTGAAGCCCTTCAATTCTCAGAAGTGTTGGGAGTCAGCATGATCAAGAACTGGTAGCACATGTTTTCATTGCCCTGACCTAAATTAAATGCCATGAAACAGACTACTGAATATCTCTCAATGTTAAAGTTTTTAAATATCTTTAATCTAGTGTTCATGTACATCAAATTCTGCATGTCTATGGAAAAAAAAAAACAACCATCCTATACACACATGACTGTTAGGGAAGCAATGCTTCCAACTATTAGATCAGATTATCTGCACTTTTTAAAATAGATCTTAAGAAATCAAAGATACCGTTTGACAAATAAGTCTTCTACAACACTGTCAGCATAGGCAGCCTCTCATTCCTAGTCTTAACACATCCATACCTTTGTGATACTACCCTATTTGTAGGGCTGCATGGCAGATTGAGTACCTACTCTAGTTTATGAATAACCCAAGAAACAAATGGTTGTTTTAAACTTCGGTCAATTACAGTATATTCCCTGCCATGCAAACTTGCAAACACTTGCCCTAGCAAAACTAAGCAGATGCCACAAAGGAAGGCAAATCATGTTTACTGAATTATGGTTTGAGCAACTAATCATGGTATTATGGAGACTCAGGTTCTAGTTTGATCAGCAGTACCTGTGGAAGTAGAGGTCCCCAGCACAAACTGCACACTCCATCCACTGTAGTGAATTAGACCAGGAATTAAGTCTGAAATTAAAATTATCTGATCCATAAAGCAAAGTATGGGTTTTGTCTCATCCAAACCACTGCATGGCCACAGAAACACAAGGAAGCACGCAATCAAGAATAAAGAGGGAAGAACCACCTAGAGTTGTTCTGCTTGCTAAAGAAAAGTAACAAGTGCTGGAAAGCAGACATCACTGTAGTTTTGCCTGCCCTCCATTACCTTTTTTTTTTTTCCCCCCACAAGACCTGCACATTCATTTGTTTCCCTTAATATTTTTCCATTAACTGTGTTAAGAATGTTACTGCATTTCCACCTCTTCTAGTTTCAACTTTTCAAACAATGTTAAGAACACACTTGAGCATCACAGCTAGACCATCTTCACAGCCTTAAAAAGACAAAAACTTCGGATCATTGATGTCTTCTGTGTCTGTGTTATTCAATTTACATGCAGCAGCTTAGCATCTATTCTGTTTATCATTTCTCTCCACACAAGGCACACATCGGGTGGTCCACACTGAGTCACAAAGCAGCATCCTTTTCTCCTGCTCTCAGCAGTAAATAAGAGCACTATTTTAACTCACCACAGAGAGCTCACCTGATGCTCCTGCCAGCCACATATGGGGTGAGGATGGTGTCAGCTACTGCTGGGAGAGGCTAACTGCTGCAGCAGGAAGTGGTACCCCATGCACCTAGACACTGCAGCAGCCATTGCTCTGAACAGCTCTCCCCTGCAGGATGCTTTCTATTTTTAGGAAAACATTACTAAACCAGTTGGTTTTGCTTTCTGGAGGAAGTAAACCAAAAACCCCACAGACTAGATGGAAATATTTCACAGGATGGATCCAGTCTGAGAGCTACAACATAGACTACAGAGACTACTCTGTACAAAACTGGGGCTTTTAGATAACAGGAGATCGAAGTCATTGAAATTAGCTGCTAATATAGCTTCAAATATTCACATTCAGTCT